TGCCTCACTAGGTTCCAATCGATCTAAGATTGGACTCTTGACTACGGTGTACGTATAGACTCATACTGACATATAAACATGACATGGATAAAACATGTAATTTTTCCATGTCATGTTTGGTCAAAATTCATCCCCGAGCCAAATACCGTATGACACGACTCATACTGACACACATCGACATGGATTTTTGTTTTCCAAATCCCGTGTCGTAACGTGAGTCATGGCGGATGGTCTGACGGTCGACAAGTGTCATACCGACAAACAACATGACACCATATCACATCTAATAGCTTTGCCCGATTCACCACCGGAGTGTTAAATCACATTGTGCTAAACAGCATTCAGCCAAACTGTGGTTCATATTTGAAATTTGAAATCCAAAAGAAAGTTCTTAAACCGAGCTCTGGTCTAAAGTACCTTTTAAATCATCAACCCTTCCCACCTACCAACTCCAACATTCCATCTTTCACTTTTGTTTCTTTGGGTAAGTATTTCAACTCCTTCTATCTTTGCAGTACTCACAATATTCAACTTGGAACTTATTGATTTGCCATCAAAAGTACCTTTCTTTTCTGTTCAATTAATGAACTGTTCTCTTGCTCAGGTTTAGATTCCATTCCTCTTCTCAGTCCCACCCCCTTTCAATCCATTTGTTATTTCCTAAGAAACAAGTCTTCAACATTTTACTAATGATTACTTTGACATTGGTTTAATGTTTTTTAGTGATTAGGCACAAAATTGATCTTATATTCAATTGATCCTTTTCATTTGATTGAATCATAATCAATCATTTTCCCCCTCCAATTCAATCAAAATTGATTGTTTCAATCATCAAGATCGATCATCTCCATCTGATTCAATCAAGATCGATCATCTCCATCTGATTCAATCAAGATCGATCATCTCCATCTGATTCAATCAAGATCAATCTTCTTCATCTGATTCACCTGAAATCAATCATATCAACAGTTCATCATTGAATCTTTCATTTGTAATCAAAACAAGCAATCTCATCTAAGTCAACTCAAAACAAACCATTTCAACTTCTTGAAAGTAATTCAACTTGCTGATTTTTAGATTTGTCTATTTAAAACATGGTAATGATGTGAGATGAAACTTACTTTTTTTTCCATGATGGTCAGATAGCAGTCTACACAGAAGTCTCACAGGCCAATTTGATAGGGGATAGAATTTTATCTTGCATGTTCATTCTTCACTATGTGAATGCGGAACTACTTGATGTCACCAATGCTATTCCTCTATCAAATTGGTTTTGGATCATGATGATCTATGGTCACTGCTGAGGTTCAACTGTACTTGTCCTCCCCAAGGCTGGGTTGGCTTCACGCACCAGATTCTTGTGGGTAGGGTTCGACGCAGACCTTATGCAAGCCTGGTCATCATTATCCAAGTGTGGGATGGACGCTGAAAGTGGGTTGCTGTCTGACCAAAGGAATCTTTAACTGATATTCTTTTAATTGGTTTGGTATTAGTGGTAAGAAGAAGTATAGATCTCCATCACAGAAATGTGTTCAAAAGGAAATGTGATATGATAAAAAGTAAGAAGCAGAAGGATGGGATGGAAGCATTCAAAGCAAGATTAAAATCTTTGTCATTTGACTTAATTCATGTATTTTCTGAGCTTTATGAAAATTTGGCTCCTTTTTTCAAATTATGAATCAGTATTGTTTTTTTCATATACTTCAAGGTATACTTGTGGTTGAGATGCATACAAAATATGAGTTTTCAAATAAAAATGTGTAAGATATTGATGGTAAAGTACCAAAAACATTGAGATCTGTTCCTTCAAAGAGAATGCCATCCCAGTTGTGATCCAACAAAGCATTACACATAAAACAAAATGCAACCCATATGTTAGAGTACACATATGAGCATCTCTTCAATTGATTTGCCATCATGGAAGTGTTTGCTGATGGCATTACGTCTTTCAAGGTGATCCTTGCAAACAGGTGGCTTGGTGTTGTTGTGATCCAAACGTTTACAATGTCAATAGATTGTTCTCTCAGTCATTGTGATTCCTTCTTTCACAAGGTTATCTTGTATTTCTCGTATGGTGAGTCCGTCATTGAAACCATTTTCCAGTACTGTGTTGATGATAGCTATGCTGTTTTGTTTTGGCATTATTTGTGGAAGAGCAAGACAGAGTAATAATAATGTAGATGGATTATTGAATAAAGATAGTTGACTGTAGAGCTAGGATTGAGTGTTTAATTTTTTTAAAAACTCTTGTTTGCAGAGAAAAATACATCAAAAATCGGATAGTCCGATCCGAATGCAATATTTTGGAGAAGTTTACATTTGGTGTCATGTTGTGTCGGTATGACACTTCCCAGACGGTACGATGTACGAGATGACTCATGTTACGACATGGGATTTGGAAAATAAAAATCCATGTCGATGTGTGTCAGTATGAGTCGTGTCGTACGGTATTTGGCTCGGGGGTGAATTTCGACCAAACATGACATGGAAAAATTACATGTTTTATCCATGTCATGTTTATATGTCAGTATGAGTCTATACGTACACCGTACTCGACAGTACTAAGTACCTGTTCGAGATTGAATACACTCCCCTCAAGCACTGGCCCCGCCGAGTTTTCAGAAGCATCTTCAGCCAAATCCGATAATCGAAGGCTAGGATTCGTGTTTGGTAAGATCAATTCTTCATCAAAGATGTCGGCAGACTCTTGAACAGCTCCGGGTGATGTTGCTGGGCGTCTCTGAAATGCTGGGAACAGCTGGTAATAATTGGGACAGGTCTTTTCAAGTCGTGCTGATCACCACAGGTCAGTTACCTACATAACTTGATACTTACAGTCATATAAGGACTTACTTTCGAATCTTTCCTCTACACTTGATAATAGTTCTCGCCATACTTCGCTATCAGTAGCATAGCCATTTTGTTCCTTCTCGGCCAAAGCATCATTCATATCTCTCTCTCTTGAACCTTGACCCGTCCCGGTTTGCATGTCTCTTGCTTTTCGAAAGGCCTTTTCGATTTCTCGTATCTAAACAGATAAAGATAGCAATGATTAACATGAATTATTGATAACCAGGACTGTTTATGAAAACATACCTGCGCCTCTACAGATGTACCAGGAATGTTTGGAAAGCCTCTCTCGGCCAGGTACTGAGCAATTTCCTCGCCAACACTTGTCTTTGTGATGGTTCCACCATCACCCCGCCACCTATCAAGCTGGAAACCATCGCCATCGGGGGTAGACAACCAATCAGCTAAGACACCAAGAGCGTTCTGGCCATCCTTGTTTCGAGCTGTGCGCCACAAAGTTCGAGGACGGACGGGAGAAGTTTTGATGTCGCCGTTTTTCTTCTTGCGTTGGCGTGGAGCCTTCTTCAAAGGGCTGGGAGTACTTTCTCGTTGAGGAGGAGGGTTTGCTGGACTCGGAACTTGAGAACTAGGTGGATGGTAAGAAGGCATAGGGTTCCAAAGGTGATTTAAAGATGGCGAAACTACAGCGAAAGGGAACGTTTGAGTAAAAATCGAAGGTGATTGGGATGTGGTGATCGGGGCTTCGCTTGTGTTATGGTTGGAGGGTGGTAGATTGGCCATTTGATCATGAGACTTCACGCTTTATAAGACCTACATAAATTTGTAACAGGTAAAGAAGGTTTAATATAAATATGTAAAGTGTTCAAAAAAAAAACTGCTCCCGAGCTGCCGCGTGGTCACCGCGTAAACGCGCACATAGATTTCAGAAGAGTTCCAGAAGTTCCAGAAGTTCCAGAAGTTTCTTGAGCATGTTCAAGAAACTTCTGGATGTCACTTTGTGACACTTCTGGACGCCACTTCTCGAATCTTGAATACCATTATTAAAAGCATTGCAAAATGTGATTTCTGGTCAGAAATTCCTTAAGTGAACGTGCCCTTATCATTCTTGATTTGCCTCTTGAACTTCTTGAAGATCCTCCATTGATCTCAAGGTTGATCTTATCTCCATGCAAGAGCCAAGAGATTATAATTATACTACATTCATCTTCATTCCATCATGTAGTCTTTTTTAAGATTTTGAAGGATTCTTACGCAAGAGCTTCCAAGGATTGATAACCTCACTGTTGGTTATGATTCAGAAGTTCTTCATCTCAATCATTCAATTTGTCTCCCTTGATTCTTGAAAGTTGGATGAGCATTTCACTCTAGATTTTTTGATGTACTTGTCCTGAACCTGTTGATATTCTCATATTCCATGAAAAGCTGTCTGGGCAACTGAAGCTCTGGTATTTTTGAATATTTGCTTCAATGACATTTCCAGGATTTCTATCCATAGATGTCATTATAGTCATGTGATTCAAGATACAGACGGTCCATATGAAAGATATGCTCAAGTGTACCATTACTACCATTCTATGGAGTTGCAGGTGAAACATTCCAAGCCTTTGAAATCTCTTGATGAGAAAATGGGTGACAATTGATAAAGCTACAGCAGTTCTATATAGATACCTGCTGCAGTTCTCACACATTGGAGAATCGGTTCAAACAGATTTTATACTTGATCATTCCAAACAAGACTTGAGAAAATATCTAGTAAAGCTTTCCTCAGGTTTCTATATAACATACCAGCTTTGTCATTGAAGTCAAAAGTGGAATAGATTTTCTGAAGCTGCCAGTGCCTCTGTGAATGTCAAAGAAAAGAGCATTTGGGTATGCTGTTTTTTCTTGTTTTGAAAGTGAGATGAGGCAACAGAAGTGCAATCAATTTAGTTATTCAGTGTCATTTGTCTCCATGGTCAAAAACATTCCAGTGTCAGGTCATATTTTTGTGCAATGGACTCAAGTACATGAGAAAATCCCTTCAGGAACACGAGTTCAGAGTTTGTAAGGCAAACATGAACCATGTGAACGAGCCCTTGAAGCATCATATTCATAGACAAAGAACACATCTTTTAAAGGTTCTTCAAAAATCTTCATTTTATACCTTTGACTACCCAAATCGGAAATAAAATGCAATTGTACCAAAGTATAAAGAAAAAGAAAAAAAGCATTGCAATTTAAAAACTTCCTTCACAACAAAAACCCAAACAAACAAAAACCAAATAAACAAAAACCAAACAAAACGAAAAGGAAAATGTCATTTACAAAAACAAAGAAAAGAAAAAGTAGATTTTCTCAAAGTACCATAATTTTTTTGAAAAAAAAACAACAACTACCAAACTGTTTAACAAACTTTCACCTTTCCCTATGTTTTTTTTGCTTTTTGCTTTTTGCTTCTTGTTTTGATACCTTCAATTCACCTTACAATTTATAACAAATAGTAACAACCAGAGAAAAAGAAAAAGAGAGAGAGAAAAAAAAATAGAAGAAAAAAGATTTTTTTTCAGGAGTGACTAGAAGACGATCATAAAAAAGCAAACTAAATGAAAAAAATGAAGGAAAAGAAAAGAACAACTAAAGTGCAAAAGGAACCAAAGAAGAAATTCTCCTTTGTGAGGAGAGATTGCCAAAAGTTAAGATACGCGCGTGTGTGATTTGTTTGAGAAACTTGCGATTGGGTTTTCAAGTTTCGTCTTGTTTGTTTGGACTTAGTTTGAGTCTAATTGAGTTGATTTAGAATTCACCCCAAAACGATTTTCGAATTTTGTACTAAAATCAAGAGATAATCAATGAGTGAGTTATAAAATCAATCGTCATAAAGAATAAAAAGACCCCACAAACCTTATAAGGAACGTTTTTCCTTAATCGATCAGCCTTATCTTTAGGTCTCCTAAGTCCTAATCCATCTTTACCCCAATCACCTCTCCTTTCAGCCTCACCTCTTAAATCACCATACTTTAGGGCTTGTTGACGAGCCGCTTCAACCCGTTTAGCACGTTCTTCTTCTTCTTGGGCATGTTTGGCTTGTTGTTTTTTAAAAAAGATCGTTTGTTCACTCTCCGGTAAACCTTGAGCGATTCGATCTAATTCTTCTTCTTTAGCTTCGATCTCTTGATGATGTGAAAAATGTTTAATGTCTTCTGGATGAGCATATGATTCTTCTGTTTGAGTTTCAGGTGTTCCATGATGTGATTCTTCATGACTAAATCAATCAAAAGAAACCGCCTAATTAGAATCAATCAAGATGATCTGAGAAAAAAAAAAGAACCAAAAACTAAACTGTAAGAAATATTCTCCTTCTTCATCATAATGATGACCAAGACCAGGAATATCACTAAAAGAAGGCAAGCCATCTTTAGAAGTAATTGCCACAAACTCCGATTTAGTTATAATCCCATCTTTATTTATATCTAATTTCTCCATGACTTCTGATAAGATTCTTTCGGCTTTCGAATCATGATGTTTAACAGAAGTAGATTGATCTAGGGCCGTTTCATGATCAACTCCATATAATTTTAAAATTTCTTCGGCTTCTAAAATGTTATCTCGATTTAAATCGTGTAAATGAAATGCAGATGCCATATCGAATCCCTAAGTTTTCTCAAAAGCAAAAACCCAGACTGGTGTTAGTCAAAAAGGATCAGTAAAAAAAAGATTGAAGGATGATTGATTTACTTGAATATGATGTTCGCTATCCATATGAGCCGATAAGAAGTCTTGATTTGGATTAGATTCATGTGATCCATGACCCATAAGCTTATGAACTGTGAATTGAAATGAAACTATTAAGATTGGAATAGGAGTTTGATTAGAGTTCCAAAACTTCATTTTTTTTGTTGGTTTGATTGATAGTTGATTGTTAGTGAGTGAGTGAGTGTGTGTGACGTGTTTGATGAGTGTGATGAAGCTGATGAAGTGAAGACTGAGTGTGTTTTTGATTTTCCGTTTTTAGTGAATTGATGATGAACTGTATGAAACTGTATTGACTGTATCAATTTCCAATTTCAATTTCATCACGCCTCGGCGCCAGTGAAGAGTCGCAAGCAGTGAAGTCCGAAAAGATTTTGGATGATCGGAAGAAGCCCGATGATCCACTTTCACTCCGAGTCGGTACCATCCATTGAACATTCTCAGCCCGATTTTGTTTACCACCTTCATGACCTTACAGCAGAAAGTTGAAACCCTTCTTCCACCACTCTCATCGTCAATTAATTTTTAAAGAAAACAAATCATGTCTGAAGATCTCATGGTTCATGATCCTCGACCACTCAAACGGATTTGTCTTTCAAGTCCAATCGATCCAAACCTAAACTTATCACCATCAGAACATCAACCAATCCAATCGAATCTTCCCTCTTCTTCTAGTCCTGGCTTATCAATCCCAGTCAGAAGGAATGGTGCTTCTCATCCGATGATACCACGTAACTTTCTCAAATCAAATTATCTCAAATCTTTAGATTGAGCGCTTACCATTTTTTTCATAGCTTCACAGTTGCGTATCACCTCATGCCCTTGTCTTACTGGCCCCACTGGACCAACCGAGGCATTCGACGAGGAACATACAGAACCCAACTTATCATCCAAGTCATCATCTCAAGCCAATGAAGATCAAACGCGTAGATCTCAGCCGCGCCCACCACACTCGGAACCAGTTGAGATGACTTCTTCGGGTCAGGGCCTCGCCTCTGTCTCTGGACTGATCAGTGAACCCATGGAAGATTTCGATGCCGATCATGAAGAGTGGGATGAAATGAATGATTGGAAAGATTATGAACAGACAGATATCGAAATACTAGATGAAGTTGATAATCAGAATTTACAGTTAGGTTTGCTCGCTTCTCTGCTTCAAATCCAGAAACTTCACCACACCACTGATCTTGATCGATTCGATCATTCATAGGTAAACCAGATGAAGGTGATATATTTTATAACCCACCTTCAAACTCAAAAATCTCCTCACTCAATCTCGCCCCCATACCTATCTCAAGAGATCCTCCTCAATCATCTGGACATCATTCCTCGCGTGATGGCTCTTCCCCTACGCGTTCTGTACGGGCCACATTAGAGCCACCCACGCGTACCACATCATTATTCACAACCGGTCATCAACAACCCATTATCTTCAGAAACGCTGGTTCATCATCCTTTGGCAACGTTTTACCTTTCCGAGCGCCTTCCAAAATCACAAAACATACCATCTCATCTGTTCATCCTCCTCCTGAGCCTCGATTAACTCAAGATGTACCTCTCTTGGGTTTCAAGACAGGTCATGGTCGTACAGTGACTCCACCTTCTAAGCATGCCGTTCAAAACGCCCTCGATGGTCTCACCTCGGCGGATTTTATGTCGTCTTCACCTGATCGATCGGAACATTTGCCAGATTCTCCTACCCCTCATACACGAGGTGTGTTTTTATCATCAGTTCATCCGCCTTCGTCATATAACTTCTGATCAGTCGCTAGTGGGCTTCTGTAGCCTTGAACGGCCCCCCAGTTTCTACTTCACCAAAAAGGTTCGGGCCAAAGAACATTGTACAGCATGAATGTAATAAGGATGGGGATTACAACCTTCCAAGCAAGCTCTCTTTTGTCGACGAGGAGAATTCAAATCTTGAGGGTCAGCCACCTAGAAAGATACGAATGCATGATTTGAGCACTGATGCTAACGCTCTGGTTTCCCTCCAATGGTGCGATTCAGCACATTCACATATAGATCAGAGTTCAATCTCTCATCCTCGCCTGCCTCCACTTCAAGTAATTCGCTCACCCAGACGGATATTGGCGAATGTGTCTAATCATCATCCATACACGAGGCCCACATCGCCCGTGACACCCAGGACACCTATGGCCAACATGTCAAAGTTTGCAATGCCGGCTGCCTTATCCACTATTCAACCTTATCGGCCTGATCCGACCACTGTGAATCCCCAAAGGGTTGCTTCTCGATGTGTGGGACTTACACCTCAATCTGTACAACTTTCAAAGACTGTGAAAAACACTGGACTTAAAACCTTTGTAACACCTTTCAAAGTGAATTTACGTCCAGGTTTGAATGCAGCTAGTGCTCCAAGGCTAGGACCGGTAAATGGGAAAATCAATCCTGAGACTGTCTCAACCAATCACGACTCACCAGGCCTTAATTTGCGCACTACTAATATGAGTAGGCGATCGATATCTAGTCGGAAAAGTGTGATGGATCTTGCACCGTTCTTTGCACCCGCAAGACAATCAATTGCACATTGGCTAGGTCCCCCAAAGTCATATACACCCCGACAACTTTTCACTTTGGGCGTGTGAGTGATCTTATTACTTGTATCTTGCATCCAACCTATTCCTGAAATCGGACCCTATCTTGAAATCATAGTCCGGAATCGATTGTCTTTATGACAGCCAAATCAGCTAAACTTTGGCACTTCAATTCGTTGTCTGATGAACCGTTTGGAGCTATCCAAGCACTTGGTGAACTTTATAAATCAGGATGTTTACCTTCCAAAGCTACACCTGAATGGTTGGCATTGAATTGGGAAATGATTATACGGAAATTTAGTGGGATGATTAGGTGGTTACCGACTTGTCGATCGCGACTTTGGAATCCTGCCTCAGTGGTACAACAATTGAAATATAGGTCAGTACTGCTTCTAATATGACCTCGTTTCTTATCATTAGTAATAACATGATCTTCGTGCCTAGGTATGAGCGAGAGTTTAACTATGGACATCGATCGGCTGTGAGGTTAATGCTTGATAATGAAGCTCCACTTGGAGCACCTGTCTGTTTATTTGTTTCATCGATCAAATCCTCTCGAAACTTTTTAGAAGGTAAAGCGACATGGAAAGCGAATGAATCGATGACAGATTGTAAACTTGAATTAAGTGATGGATGGTACAAGATCAATTGTGTAATAGATGCCACTCTCTTTAGAGCCATCTCAAATGGAAGAATCAAAGTAGGACACAAGTTAGCGATCGGAGCAGTTTCACTTAGATCATCATCTTTAAATCAATCGAATCCATCAAGAGTCGTTAATGAATTAAGTGTAGATGAGCCTGAATTGGTTTTAGAAGGAAATTCTACGTCACGAGTTCGTTGGTTTGAAACACTTGGATTTCGAATCCGTCCTTGGTTCTCGAGTCTTCGAAGCTTAAGTTTTGATGGTGGTAGAGTCTCTATGATGGATATCTTGATTCTTAGAATGTTTCCTTGTTTGTTTATTGATGAAGAGAATCCTTATAATCGATGGGGAGAAGTAGAAGAAATTGAAAATCAAGCGGCTTGGGAGGTGAAATCTTTTTTTCTGTTTTCTTTTCTTTTCTTGACGTTTTTCTTCATGTTTCTTGGATCTGGAATTGAAATTGATTGGGTACTAAGGTTTTGTGATTTTTTTTGGTTTGGTTTTAGAGTTCAAGACAAATTGAAATGGAAAGAATCTCACAAGAAAGAAATGAAGAGTATCAAAGCTTGATTAGTACTAGAGATTTAATTAATGATATGTTTTTAAACCGATCAGAAGGCAACATTAGTCCGAAAAAGAATGAAACCGATTCGAATTTACCTTGCATAGACTTTGATGGTAAATAAAAAAAGATTTAAATCCTGAAAACTTTTTTTCTTTTGCTTTGTTTTGATAGAGAACTGATTCTTTTTTGGTTGGGTTTAGTGGATGATGTTATAGAAGGTTTATTGGATGAGAAGATGAATTATTTAGATTTGAAAAAGTATTCGATGGACGAATTGAGTGAAGTTTTGGATGGGATTAAAAGTATGGTAGATCGATTTGAAAGATCAGGTCCAGATGAATTACAAAAAACTTTAAATGTAAATCTTAAGTTTATTTGTCTTTATTTTTGAGTTGAAAATCTTGATTGTTGATTGTTTTTTTTTTTGATTTTTTTTGATTTGATTTGATTTTTTTTTTTTTTTTGGTTTAGGAAAGAGTTCCATTAAGAAAGATTAGAAAAGTATGTACATTAAGAATTCAAGATTTTCATAGTTTTAGGTATACTTCAAATCAAAGAACTGCTCAATTATTAATTCAAGATGTAAGTCAACTTAATGAAGGTTTATTAAAAGAAGGACAAAGGTATTGGGTAAGTGATTTTTTTCCTTCTCTCCCTCTTCCCTCTACCTCTACCATTTCATGAAATAAATTGAGATTTTTTTTTGGTTTTTTCTATAGGTACAAAATGTTCAACCACAGAAAAATGTTAGATGGGATGCTAGGTTGGAAAGAGTTGAATTGTTGTTGTGTACTAGAAGAGATACTAAATGGCGTTGGATTAAAACAGATGAATGATCTTGAGTTACTTGATTGCTTTTAATGAAAACGAAGGTAGTCTTATATGTATCATGATGATGAATTCATGATGCGAGAAGAGAAGAGATTGGATCATGTTTTGATTTTGGTTTTGTTTTGTTTTTTATGTTTTCGGTTTTGATTTTATAGTTTTGCTTTGTTTTGTGTTTGGTATATATGGTTTTAAGTATAAATCTTTTTGTGCGCAATGTTTGATACATACAAATTTCACTTGGTTTTTTTCGCTCATCTTTTGTTTAAGATATGTAAAAGTTTTTTGAAGATTGTTTGTATTTATATATACATATATATGGAGGTAGTGAAAAATTTAAATCAAGGGAGTTGTGATTCTTTTTTCTATAGGATTTGAGTGTTAGTTTTAAACTTTAAGAGATGGTTTCACCTTTTCATCAAAGTTAAGTTTGGTTTATACTCTTGATTAACCTATATTCTTGTGGGAAAAAGGTTTTGAATCCTCTAGATAAATGTGCTTTTGTTTATGAGGGCTCAAACTTTATAAGTTGGCCTCACCGATATATAGTCAGAATATGAAGTTCATTATTCAATTTATAATATCAGGGCTAATTGGTTCTACATAGGTAATGAAAGACGCATTATGTGTAAGTTTTGGTTCAAACATTCCTGGGAACCCATGTATTCTTCATGATTCAAATTGTATTGGTGAATTCATGAGGACTGATACAATATACTATATGATGTAGAAGGAAATGAATACCTTCTGATGTAACAACTTGTTGAACTCATGCGTGCATATTGTTAAGTTGATCAAATAAATCAAATGAAAAGATTAAAACCGTGTAAGAAAATCGAAAAGGTACCAAGTACATAGTTCATGAGTCATAAACTCATTTCAAGCCTTTTAAGGCTGCAAGTCTTTGAGATAATTCCTAATAAACACAAACCCATGTTATATTAATATAGGAACAGATTAACACACAAGATGATTTTATGAAGAAACTATGAATCATAAATGAAACAAAGACTCACATCAAAGTTCACATCTCTTTCTCTTTCTCTATTTACAAACCTTTGAGTATTCTTAATCATCTTTTCGACTTCTGGATGATTTTCTTCACTCAGATGTTGATCATGATGACGATGATTTTTAATTGAAGATTCATTTTCTTCAGGTACATCAGCAAAAGTAGAAGCACGACTATGAGCAGTACTAAAGCTTCTAACAGTTGATCCTCCCGAATAATTCATATCTCGTTTAGGAATCTCTTGATTTGGAGGAGTGATAATTTTAGTTTCGTTTGGGTCTGAGGGATTATTTATAGAAGATGAACTCGGAAGGTTTTTAGTGGACGAATCTGGTGTTAATTCTTTAAATGAGACTGTACGTTTTCGTTGTTTTTGATTGGTTGGTTTGGGTTGAGATTCTAAAATCGATAACGGTTCTTCTTGATTGACTTCTTCTTTTAAACTTGATAATGAATTTGGTTCAAGTTCTTTGAATGGTAAGGGTAATGTATAAGCTCTTGCGATTTCATTTAAATACATTTCTACTAATTTAGAATCAGGTGTGGTTAAATTGATTTTACTGGTCACTCGACTTGGGATTATGTTGTCACGATTTTCCATGACTGAAATCGTATAATCACGACCATATCGACTAAAGTCACAAAGAAATGATTAAGCAAGATATTCTTGATTAGGTTTTTTTGTTGAATGTTTGGAGTTTGTTGGTCATGGGATTGGGGTTGGGGATTCTGACTTACTACATTAAAATCTCCCTTAGTTGATGTAATTCTTTAACTTCAGTCCTATTTAGTTGAACACATCATCAGTATGAAATTCTTCAAATGGATCAGATTCAATTATTTACCTTGGAGCTGCATGAATGATACTTGCTACTGAATCTGAAATCCCTGGATCGACAGCTCTACCCAAGAAAACCCAAACGAATAAGTCAACCAAAACCAAAAAAGATGTTTAATGTCTCTATGGAAGTTTAACTTACGATGAAAACTCAATCAAGTTGATCCTAGCAGATAAGATCTCACAATATAACTCTATCATCATCATCATGATCATCATCAAAAAGATTATTAGCAATGAGATTCAATCAATCAAAAAAAACTCAAAGTATCAAACCTACCCATAATTTCAAGTAATTCGATATGTACATCATCTGAAATTATCGTTTCTACTCTAATTCTTGCAGTTTCAAGTTTACCTTTTTCAAGAAGAGTTGCAATTTCTCTTCTAGAAACTTTGGCACTTGCTCTTTAAAAAAAACAAAACCAAAATTATCATTTAGTTCAAAAATCATTATGTATATCAATTCAAAGATCATAAGGTTGTATTTTTTGTCACTTACTCCATTTTTTCTACTACCATTCTTAATCTTTGAAGTGATAATTTGACCTATAAAACAAAACAAACAACAAATCACATAGTTCATCAGTCCTTCAATCCTTTTTAAAATCATATATATAATAATTTGTTCGAGTTTTTTTTGTTTCTTGTTGAATTGATTAATTGAATTTCGAACCTGAACCTTACATCTGGCTAAATTAAATGGGGCCATTTTGTTTTTGATTTTGATTTTTTGATATGTGTTCAATAAGTTTGAAAGTTGAACGAGTTGATAAGAAGTTGAGGTTTCGTTTCGAGTTGAACGTTTGGAAGGTTTTGATTTGGGTTGGTTGGTTTGGTTTGGTTTGGAATTCGATCCGGTTAACTCGGACCAGCTGACCGATTTTAACCTTTTAAAGCTTGATGCTATGTGTAACTTAACTAAGTTCCTTCTCAAAGCGCAGACTAAGCTTAATACAAGTTCACGCGTGATTAAGAATGCAAATTATTGGTTTCTTTTTGACTGTTTTGGGTGTTGCATCTGCCTTGAACACTCTGCTATCCACTGAGTTGAGAATTATGAGGGAGCTAAAATTGGCTTCTTTATCTTGTACATATCTGCATTATTGATAAGAAGTTGTAAATAGTAATGAAATGAGATTGAATCAACATAACTTTTGGATGTTTTGATTACACAAGTGGGGTGACAATTGGCTCTTCATGAACTGACTTGACTCACATGAACACGTGTATGTAGATCTAGTTGCAGCAGAATTGGATGTAAATATTTTAATTTATCAAAAATCTGCTTGATTCTTGGGTTCTGGGCCCTGGAACATTTCAGAATAGCCTGAAGAGGATGAAAGAAACAGAAAGGTTTGCTGGTCATGTTTCATAAGAGCACCTCAAATTTCTGGATTGTGTGAGGTGGTGAATTCAACATCTAGGGATAGTCACTGCCAAAGCAAAAATCCCATCAGACTTTGGAATATGTTCAGGTTGCAAGCTTCACCCTCTGCAGGCTGCGCGGGGAACATCTCTGTGATTGGTGGGGCTTGTGTTAAGCTTGAGCTTGACGTTGTGTCAGACTTCAGTGTGTGCTAAGGCCTTATGGAATGCTTTTCAGTGGTGCGTGTTGTGCAAAGCACATACCACCATAAGGGCGGTACAGGGGCACACCCAAAATCTCCAATTGGGCAATATGTACAAACAAAATTCCAATACAAGCAAAAGACACCAGGGCTTAAAAGAGCTTGTGATGTTTGTTACAAACTGTCAGAGCAGGGATGATTTGAGTTCAGAACAAATCTAATGAACTACCATCAAATCCCACGAATAAGCTACTCACCTGTCAGAGCAGGGATGATTTGAGTTCAGAACAAATCTAATGAACTACCATCAAATCCCACGAATAAGCTACTCACCTATCACCCAAGAATGTAATAGAAAATCTTGGATCAATTTTTAATTCCATCACAATGAATAAAAAGGAAATCAAGATATGAAATGAAATATAGAATGAGAAACATACCTGTCAGAGCAGGGATGATTTGAGTTCAGAACAAATCTAATGAACTACCATCAAATCCCACGAATAAGCTACTCACCTATCACCCAAGAATGTAATAGAAAATCTTGGATGAAGAGGGAGGCTTTCTTCGTTGCTCTTCGAGGTGATATTAATAATAACGAGTAAAACAAAGTTAGGTTAATATTGATGATATCAGTAACAAACAGTAAAAGCTACATATGAATTTAGATAATGAGATATGAAATAAACAACATTAAGTTTCTAACTTATGAAATGTAACATGTAATAGTGGCTCTCAAACCTGCCCCGGTTTTCAAAAAACCCAGTTGACCCAGTTGTTTTTTGGCAGTAACTTTGTGTATCAAGTTGACATTTGTTGACAACTCCCAGCCAAAAATTCAACTGGGGCAACCGGGTTTTTTGAAACTGGGTCAGGTTTGAGAGCCACTAATGTATCAAAATAAAACGTAAACTTCAACATCCCCCCTATTTCAAGATCATTTCTAAGTCATATGATTCAATTCAAGGGCGTGACTAATTGCTTGAGGACCCAATGGTTTTGTTAAATGATCTGCCAGCATTTCCTCACTTGGAATATGATAGATTTTGAGTTGATTTGACTGAATAAGTTCCCGAATATAGTGAAATCTACGATCAATGTGTTTGGATCTTGATTTTAAACCGTCACCAGTGGCAGTAAAAATAGCTGATGTATTGTCTATGTAGAAAGGTGAAGGTTCTTCCAGTTGATGCATAATATCGAAATAGAAAGATCTAACCCAAGCCATATGTTTGGAACATTCTGTGGCGGCAATATATTCTGCCTCAGACGTTGATAAAGCAACAACCGATTGCCGTTGAGATTTCCAACAGACGGCTCCATTCGATACGGTGATTACATACCCGGTTACAGACTTGCGTGTTAAAGAGCATTGAGAAAAATCCGAATCAGAGTAAGCTTGAGGTTTATCTGTCCCCCCAGAATAGGTGATTGATAAGTCTTGTGTACCCCGCAAGTATCTCAAAACATGTTTCGCTGCCGTCCAATGTGATACAGTCCAGGCCGAGTTGTATTTTGAGAGTTGTGATACAGCATAGGCGATATCCGGGCGAGTACAAGCAGAGATCCATTGAAGACATCCGACAAGTTCTTGATATGGTATGTCCTTGGCTTCCTCGATCTCTTCATTCGATCCTGGGATTAAGGTGGTCTTTTGTGGTAGAGGAGTCTTAGCAGGCTTGCAGTTTACCATCGCAAAACGCTCAAGGCATGATTCAATATAATGAGATTGGCTTATTTTGATGTAAGATCCGTCTTCGGCTATGTCCAGCTTGATACCAAGGTATAGTGTAGGTCGTTCAGTCCATTTTAATTTGTATTTGGAATCGATAAAGATTTGAAATTTGAGAAACAATTCATCGTTATCACAAAATACCAGAGAGTCGTCCACATGGAGATGTAATATGAGTAGACCGAGTGTACATTTCAGAACATAGACAGCTGTATCAGATGAAACAGGATAGATCTCAAAACCGGCAGTTGTTGCGCCGAAGTGTTGTTGCCAACGACGAGCCGCTTGTTTTGTGCCATATAAAGATTTGATCAATAACCACACCCGATGTCGTAAGGTTGGATGTTCAAAACCTAAGACCTGACGAGCATACACCAAATCTTTCATACCACTGTTGAGAAATGCAGTAACAACATCGAATTGGCGAACTTTCATGCGTCTTGTTCGTCTATTACCTTTGACTCTAGAGATGGATAAGGCTAATAGAATGCGGAGAGAGTCGATCTTGCCGACTGAAGCGTAAGTATCGTTGTAATCGAGTCCTTTGATTTGGTGATTGCCTAAGACAACCCATCGAGCTTTGAAACGTATAACTCGGTTGTGTTCGTCCCTCTTCTTGTTGAAGATCCACATCCCCCCAAGGATGTTAGCATCTGGAGGAGGATCAACTAATTTGCCTACAGAATGTTCCATTAGTGATTTGAACTCCTCCTCCATCGCATGTAGCCAAGCTTGTTTGTCAGGACCAGCCATTGCCTGAGCGTATGTTGGACTGTCGGGATCTGTACCTGTTGTTGCCGAAAAACCCCACCGATCAGGGATGATAGATTTCGAGTCGGATGGTTTCACTTGAAAAAGATACTGCAACAGCTGAAATTGAGAAACAGTCACCAGAAGAGTCTTGTATTGAAAGTGCCAGCACCAGGCCTTGTGAAAAGCACAAGACAGGTTGTTTTAGAATCACATGGGAAACAACCCAATGCATTGGGCCTTGTGAACAACCTGTATGGTTTCCACATTGTGTAAAGTCCATCCTTGACCCTTCAGATATGGACAAACACATAGGCCTTCTGTATCTACCCAATAGGGTGAAGCATCCAAACTCTTCTCTTGATTGCTATCAATTTAAATCTAAGAGCACCAGGATCAAATCCCAGGAAGTATGACTCAAACGGAAGCCTGTACACAGGAAAGTTGACAGGAAATAGGGTGTATGCCCACTCTCCCAGAAAGTTGTAAAAAAACAAGAAAATTGAGGCTTTGCAAAACAATGGAAGTTGAATCACCAACACCCAATTTGGTCCAGAGAGACAGTGAAAATGGTTTGATAGATTTGAATCCAGAGGTGAGAGGTTGGCTGGTCTTCCTGTTTGGGGGCTATTTTGATTATAGTCAATCAACCATTTCTAGTAGGTCATGTCTGATTTTTACTGGATGAGCAAACCATACAAACAGTTTACTAGGTCTGGTGCCTCACACTTTTTCCACAGTTTGTAACATAGCTTTATTTCGGTATTTGGTTGGTCTGGTGATGGTGCTCTAACCAATCCAACATTGGTATTTCACATTATCTGTCTTTTCAGACCAGAGCTGGGCCATTATTCAATTCAACTTTGCAGTATATACAAACTCTTAGTTTTCTCAATTTTTTACAACTAGAGTATGTGGGCATGTAATCACTTGGATTTCTCCTTTTGGTGGTTAAAACAAGTGACCTAACACCCACAAAAATGTTGCATTTATCACCTTTAACCAACACACCCATAATTAGCCAAGTCTCAGCCTTAGATATTTTCAACTGCCACTAAAAATTTGAACAAGTATTACATTTTCAACATCATGGTAAATTCATCTTTTGATTCTTACAAGAAGTGGAACAAGTGATCTCCCTGTGTAATAGTCTGAGCATGGCCTCATTGTGGTTTTAAGACATATTCAAACAATAACAATTCCCAATATACCTGGGTTTAGACTTCTAGCCAATGAACATTTACATCAGGTGCTGCATCACAGTTATACGCTTCAACTACAACTTAGCCACAAGTATAATATATCTATTTCTTGCTTCCAGACCAAGAGGAGGTGTTTAGTGAGGTGTGCACAATTTTTGCAATTTGACAGGATAAATGTGTAAGCAAAATACAATGGGTCATGAAGTGAAAGCAATGCATGTGACAATGGGTGTTGAAGTAGCTTTCTACCAAGAAACTTCTCCTGTACTTTTGAAACCATCAAAGGTTTCATCATCAAGTAGAAGACTTCTGTATTCCAGCCAAAATATTTGAAAGCTTCTCATAGTCAACCATTGCAGGATCCATAAGAAACTCTTGATGATAAGCTGCAATGAAAAATGGCTGTGGTTCTCATGAGTCTTCTCATGATGGCTTTGAAGGGTTGCATGGCATGATGTGATCAATGAAAGGAAGGGTTGTTTCTTCAGCCCATAAAAAGCTGGATGAAATTGGCTGAACTATGAATTTTTGAATGACAAGTTATGTGGGGTGGGATGTGAATTTACTTATGGAAAGGCCTCAGAATTGTCTGTTTTATAGACTGAAATGAGGACCAAATTCAAGAAAGGTCCAAATCTAATTAGCATGTAATAAAGGGAAAAGTTTCAGTGAGCAACATTGGTATCAGATTGCAGGAAAAACAGAAAACAAATTAAAAGTACATGTATTGTGTAGAAAATCACAGAAAACAATCAATAGCACACATCAGAAGGCAAAACAATACTGTATCAATTTGGAAAAGTCATAGTAAAAACCTCTTGATGATATTATTGTCAACAGGGATTATGTTTGGTGAATCTATTGAGAAGCTTCTTGAGGTATGATTCCTGAAGCAAGGAGAGGTCACCTTATATGGGTGTCCATCTCTACAAAGTACAAATAAGGAAATGTGAGAGATGATACAACAAGATGGTCCAAGTGGATCCATCTATGACCAGATCCAATAAGGTAGGATCTGGTCTACAACAATAAAAGGACAAATCCAGTAAGGATTTGTCAAAAGGAGAAAAGAATTGGTATATTTGAAAGCACCCAAATGTAGATAAAAAGTACACTGAAAATCATGTTACAAATGATATAAGATAACAAAAGAGATGGGGAGAAACAGGTTATCACACTGAGCTTCTACATAAGATAAAACAATGTTGCATAAAGGTCAAGTTAACAAAGGCTTCACTGTAAAATCTCATTTTAAAGACTTGTGGTAACCACAGAGCAAAAGATGAGGCAAGCAAAAAAGGTCTTGATGGTAAACTGCATAAGATCTAAAAACCAACGCATGACAAAATCAGGAAATAACAAAAAGACAATTGCAAAAGCTAACCAATGGCTATGTGAATCATAACAGCCATAGAACCTTGTATCCAAAGGCGGACCTTACCAACATAGGAGAGAAGGGGCTGGGACTCATGCAGGTGGTCCACTTTTTTAGTATTTGAATTTTCTGGCAAATTTGGCAAACATCATATTCTTTGTCAAAAGTGATTTGTACAGACACCCCATTGGGTCTCATTTTCAAGGACCCAGTACTGGTGCTCTTAACAAATCGAGAGCATTCAAAGGGTTGCGGAAGTTGCGAGCCGGCTCGCATGAGAGCCGGCTACCAATTAGCAAGCTGCAACGCAGCCTGTCCTGATTTTACAAATACCCCGATTCGTAAAATCTGACCGTATTCGGACAGCCCCTTCCATCCAACAATATCCACACCTATCTCACATCGCCGAAGCAGTCCAAAAAGCAAATCGGCATATACCATAACGACGTTCACATTGCGAGGCATTGAACCAAGCACGGAACCATTCCTCACCTTAAAGGAACCGCGGCCGAGGACTCACTCACCAAGCACCGGTTTTATATCTCGTAACCCCGATAAATCGATCATGATTTATTTAGCACACACCAAGTTGGAAGTTGTTCACAGGCTTTGCAAAGAACAGCAGCCTCATATCAACCAAAAGAAGGAAACGACAAGGATTAACGTAGGATGAACATCGCCAAGAACGTTAAACTAAACAAAATTACTTCCACAAACGAGATGAGACGTCTCGACTTCTACAGATAAAATTTTTTGTGTATATATAAAGCTCAAGCGCACCTGCATTATTAAATCAGTAGTCACACTTGTAAAATGGCCCCAGAAAGACTATACGCCGAATTTCCTATAAATCCCGTTAAGCCCTCCCTGCCATTAGATTTACCGGTCCCCACGAAGGGTAGTGGCCTCCTTTGTCCGTCTTGCCGAAAACCTCACTCGACTACTTACTACGCCCCCTCCAGTCAACCTCACGAGCCACTCATTGGAGTCTCTGTACGTAATATATCTTTATCAGTCTTTGAAAAGTAAATTAATAATTCATCTATATATGTTTATGTTACTGACGCGATTTACTCAGTGCTACAAAGGCCGATACTATCGATCGTATAGCCTTGCCCACGCCACGAAGGCTATCGTGCAACACAACCTCGCCCTACGCCGTGTATCAAGCAACCGACCTCACCAAGCCGGCCTTGATTTTGCAATGCAAGTAGCCCGGCTGATTCACGGCGACCCCGAAGCCGACCCAAACAAACGTCAAAGAAGCAATCATGGTCAAACTCACAGTAGTACTCAAACTAAGAAGAAGAAAACGCTACCATCGCATCAACAATGCAACGGATACAACGGTAAATTTGGAGTTGGACACACGGCAAGGAAAAACGAGGGATGCACCATCAAGACATGTCGTAATGTATGTATAATCATTATTACATCCACTCAGTTTGATTGAGAAAATATTGACGGTTGAATATATGCATCTAACAGTGCTGTGAGCAGCTCAAACCGCACAACACACGCTGTACCAAGCACCTTGCAAAATCTAAACAACCCGCCTCCAAAGACGCTGGAAACGCCAACTTGTCACAAACTCGCATCGATCCAATGCTCCTATCCAACAATGAATACGACACTCAAGCTGATTCCGAGCCGTCAATGGCGCGAGCGACACCTACATCTGCAGCACCTCTCACGCAAGCATCCCATACGTTTGCCACCCCCCTATCTGCCGCGCAAGTAACCAAGTTTCGCAGGACTACTATTCAGCAACAAGCGGAAGAGCGCGAAGATAAAGACCACGCCATGGTCGCCAGCAAAACGGCAACTTTTGTGGTATGGGCAGGTTTAGAGGTGAGTTTCAAGTTTTCGACCACTTATCAATTATGTTAAGCTGATTCACATTATCTGAATAGGACGACCCTTTGGCCTGTGAGACCTGGCGAGTCTACGCCCCGCGTTGGCCCCACTTAAAACTCAATCAGTCTGCGACGTTAATGGATCAAGTCCGAAGTAAACTTGGTGCTGGCTGGGATGGTGACCTACGTGTGTGGATACCTGAAGAAAATAAATGGGTAAATCCAATTTATTTTCCCATATCTTCCATATCTAGTTACACTGCCGAGTTGCCTGCCCTGACTAGTTAACTATGCGTAGGTCAAGATGCAAACATCAATTGTTGAAGAGTATAATCCGCACTATCGACGAATACTCATATGTTTCCCTGGCGTAGTCCCTGACAAATGCAAAGAAATGGACTTCAACATGTCTTTAGTCAAGTCAATGACCACACTTCAGAAAATGGACATGCAAAAAATCATTAGTCCTAAAGCATACTCACGCTTAACCCCAATGTCCACACCAACTCCGCGACCCATAGTGGATATCACATCTTCGGACGACGACGAGATAGGTGACCAATCCAACAGCAACAGCAGATCAGCTAGTCCAGACCTCCCACTATCTGAAGACCTGCTTGGACAACCCAGTCCTCCTACTATCGACGAAGATACGCCACCGCCACCACCTCCTGGAGGCGACCCGCCTGCCGATGATGTGATCATCATGCCGCCAACTTTGCCTTTGAAGCCAGGATGGCCTACCGCTCCAACTGTTGTATCTATGCGGTCTCTTCAGGATTTTCTCAATCTCACCCTACCTCCGCACAGGCTCAATATCAAATCTGCGTTTGATCGGGTATATGGTCAAACCCATGTGTACGCACAATCCACCGTGTCCAAATACCGCCGATGGCTTTTGGGTATCGGTGAAGCGAACTTGGCTAACTATGTAAGATCAGGGAATCCATCGGTCATAGATGGTAAACATCACTTCCGATCGGAATGGTCAAACCTGGACCCTTGTTCTGAGAAAGCGAGATTGCGACGAGGATGATAGGGCTTTCAGTCTTTTTGTTAATGTCATTATATTCTATCTGTTTATGTTGTTCTTGTTTGTGATGTTAAATACTCTACCCCATTCCATGTATCCACTTCAATGTGTCTGTTATTGCTCTACATTAAGTGTATGTGGTCGGTCACTTTCTCTTATTTCACTATCTCTTATTCATTGATGTTCATGGTCACCTGGTAGTTTCACTATTTGATTAATTTTGTAAATACAACACGGACACTAACATAGCGTTTATGTTGACTATAAATATAACGCAATGAACGAGGATCTTTGCTCGCTATCTCCCAAACTTCAAATCCCTTGCCTTGTCAAAACCGAGAAAAATAATGATCGACACATAGTGTAGCGAGCAAAAGGTGATGACATCTCCTTATATTATGTCATACACATTTACACAAATTTACATTTATACTCTTCCACTGGTTGAGTATAATTGTCAATTTAGCAGCAACAAATATGCTTGCGAAACAAGCTAGCGAGTCCACCTTTGATTACTGATCGCGTATAACGTGCGTGATACATATCGCATTTGGAATGGTATTTATTTCCATATTTCATTGGCCATTTGTGAATTGAAAATGTAGACACACATGTGCAACATAGATGAAATACGCTCGCGATATAAGCGACATAAGCTAGCGGGTCACATTTGATCAAAGGTTTCCAACTGTGATAAATGATAAGAGATAGATGTCGCAATTTTTGGAGTGGTATTTATTTCCTTCTTCATCTTAATTGTTAGTACTCTCATCATTGATATATTTTCACGCAATTCTACTTTGATTACTTGAACTATCTCCCATTGGTATATTCAATGCCTCCGTCTTCGAAACTGCCTCGTGTTCCATCCAATGACAGGGCAAACCCAACCAATAGCAACAAAGAAGTTGAGGTCTCCAAGTCCTTGCCTGGTCACACCGATCACATAAATGAAATGGACAAAAACGAATTGGCCTCAGGTATCTCCCTGCTGCATTTAATAAGAACTTGTGAAGTTAACTGAATTTGATGGTGATGGTGAAAATCTAGGCATCGTAGGCAATCACGTCCTTCGTCATCGAGTTGAAAATGTTCATGATCATGTTATCGATCACGGTGAGACTGCCTATTCAAAAACCGCGGATGATCACGTTAATGAAGCGGATCTCGAAGAATCAGGTACGGATTTACAACAACATATAATGTTACGTATCATTCTTCATAAACTTCAAACTGACCAGGGAATGTTTTAGATAATCAAGGTGATCACGATAACTCTGAAGGTAAATGGTTTCCTATTCGCCTAACATCTTAGGTTATAATGACTACTAAACCTAATGCATTTTCCTTTTGTTCATGATTTGATGAACAATTATTAATTGATACAACAGCCACGTCGAGAACTGTGGAAGATGACGAATCAGGTAATAGAGGATTTTTTCAATGCTACGAGCTACGAGTTCAAAATTAACTGACCAGCCGATTGACGCACGCTGGTTAATCAGATAATCAGGTGGATCCAGATAGTTCATTAGGTTAGTAGGGTCCTATACTCATAAAAAAGCTGATAAGTTAGACTGAATACCTGCCCGGCTATATTTAATTCAATACGTCCTGATCTATTAATTATAGACACAGCCTCATCAAGAAATGAAAGAGTTCTATACTACTATACTATCGAAGATATCAGCGATAGGCTTCAAGGTTGTGTATACTGCTTGTTCCCCAAGGTATTTGATCAACGTTATCCACCTTACAATCCTTACGAGTGGGTGAATTTCTTGAAAGATACCGTGTTATTCCAAGTCAAGCACAATTTTCAGTTGCCTGCTAGAGACACCGCGTTTTGGGCGGCTAGAAGCATTTGCATAGACGAACACGAAGAGCTACATGGCAAGTATATAATAAAACATAGTCTATTGTGGGATGATCGAGATAGCAGGGCCCATTGTTTTGAGCGTGCTCAGAGCAACAGGTTTGCATTGATGATGTTGGGCGCGTTTCAGCAATCAATCCTGATTCACAAACGCAGGAAGGAGCGCAACCAAGGATGTGCAAACGATATGCACCGTCAGATGTATTCTGAATCTTTATCATTGAAAGTGAGTTCACTTTATCATGAGTTCCAACTCTTGATAACTATTATTCACGTGAACAATAACCTTGCTCGATAGATTCCAACTATGTATGTTATGCAGACTGCAAGGAGTCTGTTTGATCAAGCCCGATGGTTCATATGTGAGGGCAAAACAGACCCAAAATCTACTCACCGTTACATCTGGGAGTATGACTTCCATGCCCTTCCCACTGAGAAGCAAACATGGACTGATCACTTATACGCTTGGTTTCATTATACGTATGAGGTTACTGGAGGTCAAACATTGTTTGCTGGCCTTGATTGTGACGAGCATGGCCAATTAAGCAATTTAGTTTTGTTTACCAAAGGGTGAGCGGTTCAAAATCCTCAGTCCATAAACGTAACACGTCTCACGCAAGACTCGCTCTTATTGTTTAGGAAACCCCCACACTACGACGAGAGCGCGGGGATGAAAGCCAGAATTGATCGGGCCTTTTTACACTTTCGCGAACAACATGTGTGCAATAAAATTTGTGAACATCTAGGACTAAGAAAGTTAAAAACTTTTCAAGGGAGAGGCGCTGGGGATTGGTTGGAAATATTGTATCTGAATAGTCCATAGGTATAATAAATAACAACATACTACATATTTTTATTTGTTTTTTTGTTTTCACTCTTTTTTTTATTACTTCAGACCGCTTATGAAATCATTCACATTCTTAATTGTTCCATTGTTGTTAGACCGCTTTTGATTTCTATCTCGATCACATATTGTTTTTACTTAAAGTTAAAATAATGGTCGATCACAAACAATCTACAAACTACAAAATTCCTGTTTATTACGTGAAGTAGATGAAACCCTAAGCAACAAAAATTTTGTAGCTTCTCACTGGTGGTTATGTGTGTCAAGCAGGATACATTTTAATGATTTCCAGAATTATTTCAAGATGTGACTGTTGATCGGAGCTCAGATTGAACCACATCAGTACTGGCTTATATATTCTTGAAACTTATGTAGTCATGAAACAGCAATGGCTGAAATGTAAGAGTATAAGAGAAGAGACCTTTGTTGTTCATTTCATAATAAGTTTGTGTATGTGTATATATTTATGTTGATCCATCCATGTCTGTACGTGGCAGTCTCAATATGGACATGATTCATTAAAATATATGAGATAAAATCAATTGGAACAAGATGTGTGATTAAAGCAAAGGTAGAAAGGAAACGTAGACGTAGACACCGCGCGGAAGACTGAGAGGGAAATACCAGGGTAAATTACAACAACTATGGCGACATGTCAAAGTTGCCAATAAATGTAACATTTGGTCGACCCTCTAACTTTACCAACAAGCGGTCATTGTGGAGCCGGATCATTTCGTCTAAAAAAAAATTGTATCTGACGTGACCCATATTTTGGCACATGGCGTCAAATCGACCAAACCAGGCATTGGTTATTTCGGCAGCAGAGGCGTTGAACCTCCAGCCACCATCGGGCTTCTTCAACTCAGGAAAAAGATGGGGGTCATTGTTGAGGCGACACGTAGTGTGCAACTCCTTGTGGGATTTGATGTGAAATGTATCCACAGGTAACATAGTATTCTTGAAAGCCTCTGCGTCACTAGGGTTAGAACAAATGTGAGAATACAGTCCACATGCGTTGTCATAAAAAATCACTTCCGGCATGTTGTCCGTGAATACCTCGCGTATGAACTCCTAGGTCTGGATGTTAGTACCACGTTCGGTTATGGATGATTTGGAGAGTAGCGTGACTCACCTTCACTTTTGGAACGGATTCGGATTTGAAAAAAGTCTTCCTCCCTACTATAATGCCACATGTTGTCAACGCTAGTTGCTCGTTGTGCGTGCGGACACGCGACATCAGGATTCTTTTTTTGCGTCCTGCGCTTTCTGCAGTGGCGTCTGCACTGGCTCCTCCATCGCGAGCACCCTCGTGGGCTCTCTCTTCGACCTCTGAATACATCCGATCCTCCTCTGAGAGAACTACCTCGCCGGTCTCTGGCTCTAGTAGTTCACTAGGGTCCATGTGAAGATTCGCATGGGGCCTATTGAATCGACGAGGAAGGCCAAATAGCAATGTGTTTCGATCTTTGAAGGTCTTGTTGGCGGCAATATGTTCTTCGAGCTGACATGTTTTGGTACCGTCAATAGCTTTGTTCATGCAAGGCTGGGCGTGGCAAATGTCGTGCAATAGTATCATGTGCGTTGGACAATAACGTTGGTTGACTTTGGCCAGAGGCTTGGTGCAACATACGGCAGTGTTATTGGGATCGAGGGCGGTCAGTTGTTCTTGAGATGCGCTGCAACTCCAAATACCAAGGGTAATGCCGTCCGTGACCATAGATCGCATTACTATGATTTTGATTAGTCACTTTCACATCTCGATCAAACATTGATAATTTGCCACTTACTTTTCCCCGTACCAGTTTCTTCGTCAATGGTGACCTCAGTACACGTTGAGCAAACATGCGCAGCGTACGCGCTTCCCTCTAACTTCTTCCATTCGTAATGATGCAGCATTGCCAATTCAAACCTCTTGTCGTCAGATCCTTTTGAATTGCCTGTTAATCGTACCCCACGAATCTTGTAGACCTCCATCAGGCGATGGATATCGAGACCGAGAGAGCACACGTTTGCACTCAGTCTGCGAGTGTAACGACCTTTGTTGAAATTATTTTGGTACATCTTCTTAACGTTGGCGTGACTTTGATTGTACGAATTCACTAGATTGTATATAGATACTCTAAAGCACCGATTGAATATTCATCCCTTTCAATACTATATGATAAATGAAATGGCTTACATGGCTAAGTTCTGGATGTGGTTGAAGTGATCGGCCAGGCGGTGGGTCATAAAATAATGCTGTGTTACTTGAAAATGATTCTCAGGTTGTCCTTCCGCTACGGTGTAATACTCGCGTTGGTCCTGGCTACTGTAATAACTGGGTGTGTAAGTGGTGTTGCAATCTACATGGACCGTGGAATGAAGGCGTATTAATTGATTTTAATGCGCTGTTTGTCAAGAATGAAACCACTGACGTCGACAATAAAAATTGGTATATTGGACGGTCTGAATGCCAGCTATGTCAAATAAATAACCAAACTTGGGTTTGCGACGCTCGAGGGTAATGGGTGCGCCGGTCTTGGAGTTAGTGCAAGAGAAACAAGTGCTGGTGGGTGGTTTGAAGAAGTTTTCGGCTATTATGATTGAGATTTTTGTTCGATGAGGCGAGGGAATACCTTGCTCTTGAAAACAGGTCGTATCATAATGGCACGCCGGAATGGCGTTGTAAGCGATGTGCCATAGATGACCCCACTTGGCATCTGCCTGGCCTGCCTCAAGGCATTGGCTAAGGAACTCATACGGCGCGTGATTTGGCGAAGTGACAAATGCGCCATTGGTACGCTGGAAGAAATCGGCGGCGAGGGTGGCAAACTTCGTAAGCTGGCTCAAGGTCAAGGTTGCGTACAAATCGGGGTCCAACTCGTTCAGCATGGCCATCAGGTCTTGGACTAGCATGACGATGGAGTGAGTATATGGAGTATTGGCAGGAAGGATCGGAAGTGTGAGAGAGATGCAAATGTATTCCGCACTGGAAGGAGCTGAAACTGGAGAAAGCGGACACATTATGTACAGTGACCAATTGGGACACTTGTGATAGATGTGGACGTGGGCAAGTCAAATTCAATTTCATAAAACCAAAGCGTCGGACTGTGCGCGGCTCGCGCTCGCAAAATGCGAGCCGGCTCGCATCCTCCCACAGCCCTTCGAGACTTCTGAACAAATCTACTGTTTACCTAAGAGCATTGCCACTGACAACCCTGGACTGTCAACAGACATAAGAGTCATGTAAGGTGTATTGGACACTTCCAGGTTGTGATCCAGAAAAAAAAATCCACCAACAAAATAAACCACCATAGGCCAGCTGTGCAACTCCATTAGTCAACTGCTCCAGGTCCTTTGGGGTTATCTGGATCACTTTTTTTTGAAGCTTTGAGCAACTGTGTAACACATTTGATCCCAATCCATCAAATCATCTCTAGCACAGGTATGTATCACACAATAGGATGAGTATGGAATAAGATGGCAGGCGTAGGATTGCGGAGCAGGTTGCCAGACTGTTTCAGGCTGGCTGTTGCTTGGTGCTCTTCCTGAAGGGAAAATACAAATATGACCAATACCTGTATGACAAGTCGCAGTCGAGGTCTGGTGGCTATGCTCCTCGATGCTGAATATCTGACGTGGTACTGTTGTTTTCGAAAAGCTTGTCCAAGTTTGCCCGCAAAACTCGAGCAGCTTAGCGGGAACACTCGGACAAACTTTTCGAGAACGACAGTATGACGCACAGGGTGAGAGTGTACCGGTCGGATGAAGTATGATCCACTCGGTACTTGATTATTCGAGTGTTATTCTGTGACATCACTTTGAGTTTGACTCTATATAAACCAATCGAACCAATCCAACCTATCATCTCACCAATCACTCAACTTCTCCATCAGCGTGAGTAGTTTTACATAATTCGAAGTTCAACTCATCTATCTCTATTTCTCGATTCGCGACTTTGTCCTCTCCGCCTGTTTGATGGGGGAGTGGTTTTACCTCGCAAGTTGATCAAGTCTTCAAAGAGGCTCAATACTACTGCATCTTCAAAGTCAAAGCTATTCAACCTGGTCGATTTCAAACATAGAAAGGCGAATGTTCAGGTTCCTGAACTATATCTGAATAGTTACTGTACTCATTCACTAAACTTAACTTGCATCTTTATCGATCGCGAGCTTAAAATGGGGTATATTGCCGATTTTCATCGATCATCATCCCTGCTTGAACGGCCCACCTTCCGCTTCAATTGGTCAACGGCTATATATATAAGTCGATCAGTAGCTTTGATTGGGTCCTTCGAGACGTTGCCTCTCTTTTCTTATGAATTGATGGTCTGGCTTGTCCATTCAAGTTTTCGAAACAGCTTGTGCTGAAGGTCCACCGTCCACTGCAGCGGGTCTCGTTGATATCGCAGCATTGGAAACACAACAAACATGAGATGATGCTCTGCATCTTTCAACGGTTCCGATTGTTTTGTACCCGTTTGTTATCCTCGATATTCTCAGCAGCATCGATTACCATGCTGGAAGTAGCCTGCGATGTGATCTACTCGCTGGACCATCGTACTTTGCTCCTACTCTGTGGTCGCTTCCAGCCCCTAATATCTGATCTGATATGTGCAAGTTGAGCAGCATGATGGAGTTTTGATTTCACACCTCGACTTTCAACTCCTTGCTTTTGCCAGGCTCCTTTTCTCAAAGGACTCCTGATGGTCTGGTTTTCTGATCAGATAAAACTCAGAACTGTGTGTGTCCATAAAACACATCTAATCCCCTTTTCTCCTCTTCGGTCACCCTGTCAAATCAAACTTTCCTGAACTGACTACTTAATAACTCAAGTTTATAATCCTTGTTTCTTTTGGTCTGTCCAAAAATAATATTCTCTTTCATTTGTGAAACCTTGAAAAAACTCCGAATCACAATTTACTGATAATGTCTAATTTTACATCTTCCGATACCAACATCTTTGCCGAAAATCCACGTTCGGTCACACTTGCTATTGGTTCTGCAATGGGTGGAATGGCCTATCTAGCTTCTAGCTTTGCTTCTTCTCTAGACCCGTCAATTCCTAAGCCCCCACCTCGGCCTAATCGAGTTCCAGGTAAATTGAGATCCTAATAATCTTCTTTTCTGTGTCTTAAAGTTCAAACATTTTCTTTTTTGATAATCTAACTTTTGTAGTTTGATCGTAGTTTTCGATTCAGAACCTCTCGAGATGTCTCAAGGACCTGCTTCAATTGAGATCGGTGACTCAGTCCCAGTTGGTGAAACTAAAATTCGAAGGTCATACAAGTCTACCCATGAACTCGTCACTTCACCGGCAGCTGGAATCACCACCTTACCTGATGTTCTCGAACATGCTGCTAAAACATTCCCGACTGCTAACGCGGTTGGATGGCGTGATATTATCAAGGTTCACAAAGAAGTGAAGAAGGTTACTAAAGTGATTGGTGGCAAAGAAATTACAGAGGATAAAGTATGGGAGTTTTATGAATTGAGCGATTACAAGTATTGGACCTTTAAGCAGTTTTTGGAGGAAGCTTCCGTGATCTCTAACGGTTTGGCAGAGTTGGGATTGACAAAGGAACACAAATTCAACATTTATTCTTCTACCAAGCCCGCTTGGCAGATCATGGCGAATGGTAAGATTTAGCTTGTCCCATGATGGTATTTTTTGATGTCTTATTGATCATCTTCTGGAACACCTTGTCTGGCTCAGCTTGTGGACGTCAGGCCATTACATTTGCTACCGCATATGACTCGCTTGGTGTAGAAGGACTTGAACATTCAATCAACGAACCCGATGTAGTGGGACTATTCACCAATTCAAACTTACTCACTACTCTTGCATCTGTGATTGACAAAACACCTACCTTGAAGTATGTGATTTATGATGGTGAATCGAACGAGAAAGCCATGTCAAAGATTCAAGAATTAAGACCGGATGTCAGAGTTTTGTCGTATGATGAATTACGTGAACTTGGTACCAAGAACGAACATCCGACTGTAAAGGCAGATCCAGAGGACATCGCTTGCATTATGTATACTAGTGGAAGTACTGGTAAACCTAAGGGTGTTTTGATCACTCATACCAATTTGATTGCCTCGAGTAAGTGATTAAGTCGATTTTACGGATTTATGCCTTTTCCTGATAATGGTAACTAATCGCGCATATTTCTACTTTTAGTTGGTGGGGTACATACTTTACTTGGTGATTTCCTAGACCCCAAGGATGCCTTGCTAGCTTATCTTCCTTTGGCGGTTTGTCGATTTCGCTCATCAAAACCATTTTTGTCTGTTCATACTGACAATTCATGATTTACTCTAGCATATTCTCGAATTTATTGTTGAACTCAGTTGCATTTCCATGGGTGTCGTCATGGGATATGGGGCTGTGAAGACTTTGACCGATGCATCTGTACGAAACTGTGTGGGGGATATCAAAGCCTTCAAGCCTACTGTCATGGTCGGTGTACCTGCTGTTTGGGAATTGATTCGTAAAGGGATTTTAAGTAAGGTAAAAGCAGGTGGCAAGCTTAAAGAGCGAGTTTTCAATGGAGCTATGTTCCTCAAGAAGAGTCCACTTCCATTTGTGGGTGGATTGATGGATACAGTAGTGTTTAAACAAGTTCGAGAACAAACTGGTGGTCGATTACGTTATGCACTTTCAGGAGGTGCAGCACTTTCACGTGAAACTCAAGAATTCCTTTCGAATGCATTGGTCACTGTACTTCAAGGATACGGCTTAACAGAATCGTGTGGAATGTGTGCGATCTTACCACCCGATTATATGCAATATGGAGCCGTTGGTGCACCTGTACCTTCTATTGAAGTTAAATTGGTAGATGTACCTGATGCAGGATATTTTTCAACTAATACACCACTTCAACAAGGTGAAGTTTGGATCAGAGGTCCTTCGGTTACTAAAGGATATTTCAAACGTGAAGATGTTACAAAAGAAAGTATTACTGAAGATGGTTGGTTTAAGACTGGTGATATTGCTCAATGGAATCCTGATGGTAGTGAGTTAGACTTATTTATTTTGATTTCTGGATTTACAAAGTTTATTTTTTTAATACTGACCTTGCATTTTTCTTTTTCTGATCATGAAAACGAAACAAAGCATTGGCAATTATTGATAGAAAGAAGAATTTAATTAAATTAGCAGGTGGTGAATATATTGCATTAGAAAAATTAGAATCGATTTACAAATCATGTTCATTAGTGAACAATTTATGTGTACATGCCGATTCGAATGCTAATAGACCGATGGCCATCGTTTTACCACATGAAAAGAATTTAGATGTTTTGTGTAAGGAGATTGGATTAGGTGGTGGGAAAGAGTTTGGATTACTTTGTTCGGATGAGAAAGTTAAAGAAGTGATTTTGAAGGAGTTGAATGAGATGGGAAAAAAAGCTGGGTTCAAACCTCTTGAGGTCCGTTATCTTTTTATCTTTGTTTCTTTATGCATATTTTTTCATTTTTTTAAAATGATTTCATATTGACTTACTCTTTTTGAATTGGTGGATTTTTGATATTAGATGATTCAATGTGTGATTTTATCTGCTGATGAATGGACACCTGAAAATGGATGTGTAACTGCTGCTCAAAAATTAAATAGACGTGAGATCTTGAATCGTTATCAAGATGAAGTTAAAGTTAGTCGTTCTCCTTTTCCCTTGTTTCCCATTCATCTTTTCTTATATTTTAGGATATCTGATGTTTTATTTTTTTGGTGATTTTTATAGAAAGTTTATCCTTAAAGCAGAGTAGCGATTCAGAAATTCAGAAATGTCTTTAAGTATTGTCTTTGGTATGATCGAATCAATTATAAACGAATCATTGATCTTTTTTTGGATTTGGTTTCATTTGTTATCAAATATCCTATCTCTTCTCGTCATTTACATGTGTCTCTCTTTATCTCTTATCTTCTTTTGACTCTTTTTCTCTTTATAATGAGTAGTTGAAGTAACAGATTAACAGAAGAAATCGAAAAATCTCAAGAGAAATAAAATCAATTGTATGTTTTCTTTTTCTTTGAATTTGTTAAAAGTTTCATCAAGGTTTTGAAAGGATCATTTACGTTTATTGAAACATATATGTTGGAGTATTGGTTGGTTAGTGATTGTTGTTGTTGTTTTTGATGATTTGTTTTGATTTGTTTGTGTGATTCAAGATGTTGTTTTATACATAGTTTTTTTTTCTTTTTTCTTTTTTTGCAATTGCATTTTATGATGTTTTCTTCTTCACAAAAAGAACTTCGCTTCTTAAGAAAGGATTGGGATTGTTTGTTTTGATTGGATGAACAGCGTTGAACAAAAGAAACAAGGTTGAGTTTCTCGTACACTGGAAAGCCCAATTACTCATTGAAGAGCCTGATGGTACCTGGGGCTCTTCAATACCCTGCCGGGGATTGTTGCCTTACTCATGCCTCATCACACTTTCAAAGTAAGCCTAGAATCATGCGCCTCTTCCCAGAAAAACCCTGCGCCCACCAGTTTTGACTTCAATCTGAACCAAGTCCTTCGAACCGCCGGTATCCTCTGGTGCCTGTGAAAGATTTGCACCCATTTTTGAATTCTTGCAGCACGTCCGCTGAAATTGAAAGTACAGAATCATTAGGGTACCTTCAAGTTCCCCAGTGGTTGGTTTGTTGTTCATGCTTTATCTCTTTGAATGGATGCATGAAATCAGGATCAGCTGAGCCAATCGAAACTTGATGAAACCTTCACTGATTATGTATTTGTCTCGAGTCTTGTCTGGAATGACTACCAGGGTTTCAACTTGAACTTTTCCTCCGACGTGTGCGAAATGGATAAGGCGCAGATGTGCCTAGAACTTCTGTATCTTTATGGCTTCAGAGATCTTATGAACCAAGTGAAGTTTATGGAGACTCAACATTACCATTGACTCATTTTCTAAGCCAGAAGTTTTGAAGGTCCAGAAAAATCGACCTTGCGATATTTAATTTTTGACTGCAACTCCACAAGAATCAGATGATGCACTTGAGTCAGGTTTGGGTATGGACAGTGTTCATCTTGAATCACATGGCTATCTCTATGAACACAAATTCAGAAAAGATTCTCGAAGCGAATTCAAGATTACCTGAGTTTCAGCTCTTCAGAAACATCTGCACAGAACGTGAAAATTTCAACGATATGTTCAGGATAGGTACATCAACAGATCTGGACCTAAGCGCTCGCACAACTTTCAAGAGACAAAAATTGGATCATGGAGGTAAAGAAGTTATGCATCAATACCAACAGGAAGGTTATCAGTCGCTGCCTCCTCAATTACTTGATAGACATCCTCCGAAACCTCTCAAAAAACTACGTGATGAAACAACAATTGATGATGCTTACTTGTCTCTTGGCCCACCCAAAGAGTCAGGAACATCCATGAGATCAATGGTGCATGTAGAAGGAAACTCAAAAGATGACCCAGGAATGGTCAGGCAACCTCCATCATACCACAAAAGTTCACATTCATCAAGCTCTGAAAGATCTACCTATAAGGATACTGCTGTATATCTTGTTCCAAATCACAGTGGTCTAGCAGAAAAAGAACATTCCCAAAGCTGGGAAATTGGTCTCAAAAAGAATCAAGCATATATACCTATTGCACCCCAAATAGCCCATACAACTGCACCAGCATCTGCTACTAATATAGCCTCACAAAGGGCATTCAACAACCTATATGGGTACCCATCTGTACAAGGAATGACAGGTATATCCTCATCCAGACAGGATCCTGAACCAATATCAGCAAGGATTGATATTAGAGACTTCCATTTACACACTCCTAATAAGATGTGTTCAGCTGCTGCAATTCACTACACACAAGATCTCATTAATACATTATCAATCAGATACTCACGTAACACTGAGAAATATAAAGATCTTAGTTGGGAAGTAGGAAAGCTGATGTGGACGTCAGAAAGATTACTTCCATTTGTTTACTTTGTTGTGTCTTGTAATCCAAGTTTCAAGATTTGGAACAAGATCAAAATTCTCACAGGGCTCTTTTTCAGAGCATATGATGCATGGTCCATTGAGAAGAATGATCAATTAAATGAAGAAAAACATACTTGTTTTCTTTTGTGGCATACAGAAGTAATGTATCATACTACAATATTGGAACCAATGATAGAATCATCGGATGTACAATTAAAGATTCCTGGACTTTCAACACTTGCAAGAACCTTTTTGTTAGTTATTAATGATGATACCTTCAAGAGATTCATTTCAACTGCAAGCAGCCGAACTATGATAAAAAGGCATGTTTCAGAAAGTTTTGAAGAAGATTTCAAAGCAGGATACCCAAGTACTAAACATGATCGGAGCACACATGTTTCAACTTTGGAAAAATGGCACAAGACATCAAATGAGATCATGAACTTAGGGAAAGATGTAAAGTGGCCAGCAATGTCATACCTTGCATGGGATAAATCTTCATCAGTTCTTCTGATAAATGGGGATCTTGGGCATGATATTAGGTCAAGGAGGGATCCATCACTGTTTAACTTCTTTAATCAATGGGACACAGAGCTTACAAGAATGTTATTATTCATCAAAGCCTCACAACCAACCAATCTAGCTATACCTCATTTTGCACTTGAAAAAATTTGTAAAGGGATCAATATATTTGTGAATGGAGGCTTTGAACTTAGAAAACAAAGACCTGATGAACCCATCCTATATCAAGTCACATTATTTTCTCATTTCCTTCAACAAGATTTGAATGATAGGTTTTTCAAACACTTTTGGCATCATCCTGAACTTTTCTTGTACCTATGACTTGTCACTTGACTAACTAACACCTCATAATCATTACTTGTGGGGTTAAAATTTCAGCTCATCACTGAGCAACAAATGTATCAGGCATACAGACTCATAAGATACTAAATATTTTTCATTCATCCAATTTCACTAAAAGAACTGATGAAGGTAAAAGTGAAGAGGATTTCTCTTGTTGAAGGAAGAAAAATGGTTTTCTGCACTTTGAATATTCTTCTTCCTTTCTTTTGAGTTTTTTTTGTGATCTTCTTCATTCTGATTTGCTTTTCTGAGTCTTCTGGACCTGGTGTCTCCTGAAAATCTGTTTTCTCGTATGTTTTCCGTGCTTCTGTTCGGGGGGATTTACAACGAAGGGTCCAAATTGCAATTCTTATCTTTCTTGCGTTTGTACAACATTTATTTTTCATGGGTTTCAGAGTGGAAGCGTAAATGTTTCTTGCAAGCTTCAAGTTGTCTTGTTTTGGATTTGTGTTTGGTAGTGCGAGATTGCGTGGACGCGGCCGCGCAAGAGGGACTTTGAAAACTTTCCTTGGATCAAAACAGTGCAGTTCCTGAAACTGACAGTTGAAAAGCATAATGCATCACTTGAGCATTCCCCGTTAATGATGCGTTCAACCTTTAGACTAGTTACCTTTATCACTTGTCCTCAACCTCAACATAGATGACATCGATGTACATCCAAGCGCGGTGAGAAAACGTGTCTGGCCTAAAGTGAGAACAATGCGTTTGATGATCCGGTCCCGGATCAATTTCAACTCACTCTCGAGTCTCCAACGCGTCAGGGATGGGCAAGTGGCAGCGTCTATGCACCTAGAACGTCGCATCTCCATCGAACCAAACGAGCATCTTATGAACCAAGTAAAACAATCTAATAGACACTCATGATCATTGCTCCCTGATTTTCTCAGTAAGAGTTTTTCAGCTTGCAGTTGTTTAGTGACGACTCCACAAAATGATACACTTCAGCAAGGTTTTGGTATGGACAGTCTCTATCTTGAATTATATGGCGATCTCTATAAACACAAATTTAGTAAACATTCTTGAAGTGGATCCAAGACTAGAAGACATTCAATCTTCCACCCAGTTGTTCGCGGAACAGGGAAATATCGTCGATATATTCAGGACTAGTACACCAACATATCCGGATCCAAACGCTTATCCAAAATCCAAGAGACAAAGATTGGGATACCGAGGTGAAGAAGTTTCAAACCAATATCAACAGGGAGGTAATCAGTACTTGGAACCTCAGTCACTCGATAGACAACCTTCAAAACCTCTGAAGAGGCTGCGCGATGGAACGACGATGGATGGAGCATCCTTATCTCTCGGCCCGCCCATAGAAATAGGATCATCAATGAACTCAATGGAAAATCTAGAGAGAAGCTCAAAAGGTGAGCTAGAGAAGGCAATAACGCCTTTAACAGACCACAAAGATTCACATTCATCAAGCTCTCAACGATCTATCTACAAAAACCATAAGGATACTGCGGTACATCTTGTTCCGAATCTCAGTAGTCTAGAACAAAATGAACGTGATAAAACTCGGGAAATCAGCCTCAAAATGAAGCAAATATCTACACCAGATCTATTTCGAGAAATTTATACAACTGCACCAGAATCTTCTAACGATAAGACCCCACACAGGACATTCAACAATCCATATGGATATTCATTCGTACAAAGCATGGGAAGTATAGCTCCTCTCAGACAAAATTATAAACCAAGATTAGAAGAGGTAGATATCAGAAACTTCCATTCACACACTCCCGATAAAATGTGTTCAGCTGCTGCAATTCATCACACGCAAGATCTCATCAATACATTATCAATGAGATACCCAAGTCAAGCTTCAATATACAAATCCATTAATTGGGAATTAGCAAAGCTGATATGGACCTCAGAAAGATTACTTCCATTTGTTTACTTTGTTGTGTCTTGCAATCCAAGTATAAAGATTTGGAAAAAGATCAAAAGTCTCACAGTTTTATTCCTAAGAACTTATGATAAATGGTCTTCTGAGAGCAAATATTTGTTTGATGAAGAAAAACTTGCTCGTTTCCTTTTGTGGCATACAGAGATCATTTATCACACTTTACTTTTAGAACCGATGGTTAAATCAGCAAGTGTACAATTAACAATTCCTGGGCTTTCAACACTTGCAAGAACTTTTCTATTGGTCAATGATGATCATTCCTTCAAGAGATTTATGACAACTTCAAATAGTCGATCTATGTTAGAAAGGCATGTTTCTGAAGCTTTTGAAGAGGATTATCAAGCAGGATACCCAATTACTAAACGTAACGAGAACATATATGTTTCGACTCTGGGAAATTGGAACAGGAAATCAAATGAGATTAGAGACTTAGGGAAAGATGTGGATTGGCCGAGAGTACCAAAGTTTGGATGGGATCCATCTGAGCCAGTTCTTTTGATCAATGGAGATATCGAACATGACACCTTGCTAAAGTACGATAAAAAACTTGCTAAATTTATCAGTGATTGGGAGACAGACTTGGCGCAAATGATACAATTTGTTAAAATCTCACAGCCAACCAACTTAGCTCTATCCAAATTTCCACTCCAGAAAATTTGCAAAGGTATCAATGAATTTATCAGGGGAACATACAAGAATACAAACAAAGAATTGAACACACCAATTGCATTTCATGTTACACTTTTTACTCGCTTCCTTCATCAAGGTCTTAATGATGTAAATTTTAGAAGGTTTTGGAGTTATTTTGAAGGTGTTTTATCTGCTAGGGCCCAAGCTGCAACTACAAAAATGAACATATGATCATCACATGTCGGGTTGAAATTGCAATCTTTCTATCTTTAATATGTCACCACATTTACAAGCAACATTGCAGACTACAAATGTATCAAGCACTTTATCACTTGCTCAATGTCACTAGTCTGTTTATCTCAATCATTTACAAAACTGTTCTTTATTTTGTGAAAGCCAAATGTGAACCATGACTTTTACAGCCATTTCAACAGTGGTTGGTTTCTTTTTGAAAGTCTCTCCTGTGAAAAACTCATACTTTGGTTTTGTCAAGTTTTTCTTTTCACAAAGTCAGCAATATGGAAGGAAGAGGATTCTCCAATGACAATAACCTGACTTTTACAGCCATTCTAACAATGGTTGATTTCTTTTTGAAACTTTTCTCCAGTGAAAAACTCATGGTTTTGGTTTTGTCAAGTTTTCCTTTTCAAAAAGTGAGCAATATGGAAGCAAGGGGATACTCCAATGACATGTGTCTTTGTGACCATTCATTGGTACATCAGCCAAGGCTGACGTGCACATCAGGTGCAATTAAGTTACTTCTCTGGGCAAAATGGGCAAAATCAGTCACATGTGTCATATCTGATGGACTGATGAACTTTTTACAATTTTCTAATCCATCATTCTTGGAATGGCTGTACATACAATCTAGGAATTTACAAGCGGGATTTGGATTCTTGCTGTGGTTTTGCTACAATTGGGGCCTAAAGCCCTTTGATTTCAAGGTACAGACATGTAAGCATAGTATAGACAAGAAAAAGTGCATGGTACAAGCAGTCCTCAGGAGAAAAACACCTGCTATTGGATACAGTGATTAAGAGATGGAAAACCCAACACAAAACACAGGGGAAGTGGGCAGAACATATGTATTACACAGAGAAGTGGTAAAGTGAATATCCAAATTTATTGTGAGAATGGTTTTGAGGAAGGCGAGGAGCTAAAATAAAGTGAGTGGGAGAAAAAGACTTGAGACTTCAATCAAATGCTTGAGATAAGATTTTTGCGGGCACATCATCCAAAATTACGGGATACAAACTAAAAACCCGAGTTTTTTCCCCGGTTTCCGAGTTTCCCAACTTCAATTCAGAATCTGGGAAACTCGGAAAAATTTCAAGACCCCCAATAGCCCCCAATATGCAAATCCCAAGTGGTCAAACACATACCATCAACCTGCATCAACCTGAACCATCTCCACACCCTCCAATCACTGTTCCACATCATTATGCCATCTGAGTCAGAACCACCCTATGACTCAGTTACATCATCTCATCCTCTGAGCCATCTCAGACAGAAGATAAGCATCACGTTTGATAGATAAGTATTCATTCGATATTCATTTGATTTTCTTTACAGTCGCAAAATTCACTATGGTCGTTATAGTTAGATACATGAAACGTTCATCTATTCAAAAAAAGGAGAGAAAGAAGAAATCAACCAAGATTTGCTCGATCACAATCTTGAAAGTTACTCAGAAAGAAGAATCGAAGGTAAAAATAAAAAGATCATGCAATCTACAGGGAATCAACTAATGGAAGATTGAAGTGTTATGAACGTTAGTTTCTGAAAAGACGCATACGAACCCAACAAAAATTAAATCAAGCCAAATATACAATTCATCATGTTCGAATCAATTTTGATCGGTTAGATCATGTTTTTTCATCATGAGACGTGTTTGTCTTGTAATTTTTGAATCGAATGAAAGTGACCTTCTACTTTTGCAATCTGAGCATTCTTATTAACGTAGTCTCTTATAATGTAACTTGTTTTTGTTGTATGTCTGATTGAGATGTTTGTTGATGAATGCTCTGATCAAGTTTATCAAGATGAGATTGTAGAGAGTGATCAGGATTGTTTCCAGAAGATAAGCTGATCATAGTTTGTGCCACACGTATTCTGAGCGAGAGCTTGTCTGGCATGTCAGGCAGCCTGGATGGACTTTTGAAGTGCTTGAGTAAGAGCAAAACGAGGAATGAGAGGAGAGTAGTGTGGTGAGGGAGGACTGGATCAGTCGAGGCCGAAGCAAAGTGGATCTTGGAAGCGAAGTCGGAGAAGAAGGGTTGTGGAAGGGTCGTTTGGGGATTCAAACTTGAAAAAAAGTCGGAATTTTTACCCAGATTACGAGTTTCTCAAACACAGCCAAAAAGGCCGAATTGGGAAACCCGGAATTGTTCCGGGTTTTTACTTTGTATCCCGTAAATATTGAGATTTATAGTCAAGAAGAGTCATATGGGGGTTGATAAGAAATCATCTTGACAAGAGAGCTTCACTAGAACGCACTCCTACATAGCATTCATGTAGTTATATGCTGTGTTGTAGTTATTGCTTGTGTGGCATGTCCATCTACATGTCATATTTTGAAGTCACTTATAACTCAAGCAGCTGTCTTTATAAGGCTGGTTTCTTGTCTCTTCAAAGAGACCTTTATATATACACCCCAAGTCTGATCATAGACCTTGAATTCTAGTTGATGTATCAAGGTACATATCCTCATTTCAATATGATTTTAATCCCTCTTCTTGTCTGAAACTCACTCAAACCACCTTGTCTAGGTACAGAACCAGCCTTGTAGACACCAAACCCTACTCAATGTACTGATCAACAATGGGCCTTTGCACTGTGTTGTGGGAAACCAACGTTTGCACACAACACAATAATATTTGACCTGTAAAGCCACAACACAATGGGAAAAGGTCACTCCTGTTGCATTGTGCACAACACAATTGAATGTTGCTCTGGTTGCTTGTGTACAGTGCCAGCGGCTCTTGTTGCTGAGCTGCTGTTGCACCATTGCACACCTCAGAGGCAGAGGAGAAAGTTGATGGGATAGGTATAAGTTATCAATAATCATAAGGCATAATTAATGAAGAGAATAAACACAATAATTGATAAACAATAAAAGGATAAGCATATGAATTAAAAAAACATTTGAAATTGACAAACTAAAACATTTCCAGGGCCGTACCTGTTGCAGGGTTGCATTTCTCACAAAGTGGTCACAGCCACAACACAACAAGGGAAAATCTTACACCCCAAGTAGCAACACACCAGGAAATGTTCTGCTCTGGTATGGTGTTGTGTTGCTTGGTCTTTTTTGTTGCTCAGTGTTTTTGTATGCTGCGTGCTCAGAGAAACACACCAGCCCAATATTGTACTGAGCTATGTACAGCTGCTTAGGTATGGACCTTTTCTCATATACTCTAGAGTCTAATCAGATTGAATTTGCTTCACAGCAACATCATGCATCAATAGACTGGGTAAGCTTTCATATTGAATATAGACTAATTGGTTTGAATAACTGGGTTGCGTTTAAAATTTAACTAAGGAGTTGTAGTCCATCTTTGACAAGTGGTGGACATGGGTCAAGTCTAGGATACATAAAAGTCTTGAACTTGATGCTTACTTAGTTTTTGCAGTAGGTGCTCAGGACAGGGGGATAAGGGATGAGCCAAGTGATTACATGACATGAGAGATCAATATAATCAGTACACCCTTAAGTCTTGGCTACAATTTTGATCTTTCTAGAGTATGCTCCATTTTATGGGGCATATTGAGGAGGGTATACTGACAACCATCATTATTCAAGAGGCAAGAAGCCATGGACCGGGTAATGCCTAATCACAACAAACAGTCTGATTTTCATTTGGTGTACCCTTGACTGTCAAGAATAAAAAAAACAAGAACTCCAAGAATTAGTCTTCTGAGGAATAGTCAAAAAAGTCAAAGATTTTAGTTGATTTTGTGTAAACATCATGGCTGATTAGTTTTTTTGCAGCACTTGTCAAGCTTGAGGTACCAGGCTAGATTGGGGCTCTGGATTGTAGGAAGGAAAAATTCCTATGAAAAAAGTAATATATGAAAAGAAAGAAAGAAGGGAAGATTTAGGAATTCATCATGTGAGTCTGACTCAAGGACTGATGGTATGCAAACATAGGTTATATATACTGTCTGACTTTTTGTAGTCAATCAAAATGACTAATTAAATAGGAATGTCAAGGTGACTGGTAGGAATCACATATCAGTGATGTAAAGCACTGTGGCTAATATCACTAAGAAGTGATGAAAAGCAAAATAAGCACCTGTTGCAAGGTGGCACGTATAAAGAGAAAAATGTTTGAGTAAATATCATTCCTATGAGCACAAGCAACAAATAGACAAGAAAACTTGGAACACTAAGCAAACCTGAGAGGAATCACATATTAGTGATGTGAAGAAGCACTGCAGCTAAGATCACTAAGAAGTGATGAAAAGAGAAATGGGGACCTGTTGTAAAATGACACATATAAAGAGACAAATGTTTGAGTGAAGGAAAACAAGTGATACATACAAACAAGTAGTCTTGATATAGTGCTCAATTCCCTGGACATAGGTTAAGCAAACATAAATGATTGTGTCAAAATTGTATGTACTGCAACCATGTACTAAATACAAACATTGTTTAAATCATACTCAAGAATGAGTAGATGAAGGTAAAGCCTAAGGTGCGTAAAAGTTAAAGTTCTCCTGGAGAAGGAGTAATTGTCCTTTGTTTCAGCTTTTTTGTCTACCGTCATCTAGGCTTTCCATTGTCTTCATGCACAGCCCACAAAGAGACCTTGGATTTAAGCATTCAAGGTATCCTCAGGTACAGATTCACCTGGAGCATTACTTTGTGCATGGGTTGCCCTGCCCAGAACATAGCTGTCAACAGCTAAACAATAAGACAATGTGTATATGAAGAAGACTAGTCCTATTTAACTTCCCATAAACATTATCAAACAACGATGGACAAAATCTTACAGATCAATCCATGCTTTCCATGAGTTCTGCCAGTTCTGCTTCCCTATAAGAAAAAATAAATTTTCAATAAGAAATGAGATGTTCAGTTTGATTGAAAATCGATTTCACATACTCTTCCGCGCTCAGCTTCATATTGGTCTCCTCGCAAGTAGACTTGACACAAGCCTTAGGGGTCGATTTTTGCACGCTGAACAGTGTTCTTAAGGCGCCGATTTCCCACTTACGCAGAGTTCCATCCAAACTTGCGCTGATCACCCATGATTGCAAACTGGCCTGATCAAACCAAACTCCAAGTGAGGTGACTTCGTGCCAATGTGCGTCCACACACCCAAACCAAGCGTTTTGCAGTTTCTTTTCAGAGGTGTTGGATTTCGGACGAGGATTGAACATGACAGAAGTATAGTCGACTTCGTCGTCAATTTGATCTAAATCGTAGACCCGGATACCTTCGTCCGTACTACCGGTGATCAACCAATTAGGTAGCATTGAATTGAAAACTACTTGACTAGGTAGTTGAAGCGCGCATCGGATATAATATGGCTGCTCTAGCCGTAGTACACTCATGACTCGAACAGATGCATCCAAAGTAAGATCCAGGATAGAAAGTAATACCGAATGATCAGAAGACGCGGTCCAGAGTCGAGCAGTGGGCCGAACATCAGGTGGCAAATCGTCATCTTTGATAATTTGGATGGAATTGATACTCGTCTGATGCAACGAGCTAGTGAATTCTAGAGAGCTTTTGAAGGGCTGGGTGCGATCTTCAGTAGGGCGTAAGCACCAAACTTTTAGAGCTCCCATTGTGTCACCAGAGATCAAGAGGTGAGGCTGTTGGGTATTGCGATCTTGAGGAAGTCCCATAGGTGCATCACTCATACTGCAGACTGGATGACAAGCTAAAGCATCGACCGGACGTGTATGCGACTTCAACGTTCCCACTCGTTGGATAGGCTCGTGCAAGGGGCCGGGCGGAGCCTTTGACGACGATACATCGGAAACTTCTGTTTCAATTTTGCCGGCGTCTGTAGTTTCGGTAGAAGACTCGTTAGAGACGTCGGTGGTTGTAACAATAGGCGCTCCCTCAACCGTAGCCACTTTATCTTGACATCGAGCATTGTAGAGAGCACTCTTCCGAGTACGATGTTCGACTTTGATTTGGTCCCAATCGTATGTATCAACTGCTGTCTTGATATCCCAAAGTAGAATGTCTCGATCGGTGGATCCAGATGCAAATAGTCCAAGACCTTGGATCATCTCCAAAGATTTGACGAAATCTTGATGAGCAGCCGATGACGATAATTGAATTTGAGTCTGAACAAAGTGAAACCTCTCTTCAACCGCTGAAATCAACTGACGAGTGAGATTGAAGGGATACGATTTCGGAGCGCACTTCTACATCCCAAACCTTCACTGTCTTATCCCAAGAACCGGTAATCAAAAGCTTTCGTAATCCTTGAGGAGTGACCATATGATATATCGCGATTGAAGTAACAGGTCCTGCGTGACCTTTGAAAGTACCTTTGACCGAGCCTGTCTGTGTTTTGAGAAATCAAAAAGTCGTTAACCGACTTTTGATGAAAGTCAGTTAACTTGGATTGTAGTTTTTGAACTTGAGTTTCAATACCTTCAAATCGATCCGCTGGGCCACGAATCCATTCTGAGCTACATAAACATCGTCACCCTCAACAAGTATCTTGAGGGGTTTGCTTGCAAGGACCATTGGATAGCCATTAGCCGCACTTGGTTTCTTATCGTCTAGAGACTTTTGAAGCCTTAGATCGGCTCTGAAGACAGATTAGATTTTTCGTCAGCTTTGAATGGGAGGGGTAGGGATCATCAGGTTTAGATTTGAAGGTATTCACATCTTTAACTGGGCGTCGGTTTGGAAAAGCTTTTGCTCATCGGCTGTTTGCATTCTGATCGGCTGGTCACGTAAAGTTCGATTGTTGACAAACAAGTTTGCTGAAGGGCTCAGCAAGCCTCAGCATGGTCATGAACCGAGCCCGGATGCGGATAAAGCCCTCCTAGGCCCTTCTCCCAATGAACACTCTGCATTTCAACCCGCGCCGGTGGTCCCCGTCATTGCCCACGCAACCCACTTCTGCTCATGCAACGCACTTGAAAGGCACAAAGAATTGACAAAAGGCTTGGTCACGCTTCTTGAGAGATGGGATAAACTTGACCAAAGAAGGTTGAGAAGATTCTTAAGAAAACAAGATAGCAAATGAAACATGTGATCTGATTAAGGTCAGACTCGAAGGTCATCATTGTCCACTTTCAATTGGATTCCACGGCGAGTTTTTCGAACTACCACATTCTCCATCATCGGTTATCTTGAATTTTGCGATTGTTCTTTGTTCACTTTTCACGTATAGAATCTAGAAAAAAGGGACATCAGACTGATTTCCATGAAAGGGGATTTTATGCAGCTCAGTGCGCGTAACCTAACCAGCGCATCTTACTCATTCAAATCCTTCTTCAAAACATTCGATGCTAGGTGTTTGAAAAGGGCGTACGTACTACATCCGTCGATCATCCCTTTAAATGGTTCCTCAGCTTTTTGGCGCAGTGAACACACTTGAATCTGAAGTGTAGATTCGCATGTTCCTTTCTTTCCTCTTCACTTTTTTGGTCATCCGAGGAATATAAATTGTGGTCCTAATTTTCCGTCTGTGTTTTTTGGTATCTCTTCTCATTGATCTTGAATAGATTCACTCCAACAATATCGTTATCACACTTTATAATACTATTTCTATCGTAAGCTTTGTGTTCCCTTAACTTGACTTCGCCGGGACTGATCTTTCAATAATTCGCAACAGCATTCCAACCTCCTTAAACATCCATTAACTCGCATACTCGTCAATTGAAAACTCGTGCGTCATCCACAAGGAAATTAGATAAAACTGTCAGTGTCTTTCAAAACTCTGCGATCGACTTGATTCAAAAAATTGATAAACTCTGTTCATCCTTGTCAAACTCTTGAAACAAACACCGAAACAAAAATCAGAAACCAAACTCTTAAAAAGAATGAGCTCCAAAACGGTCACACTCTTATTATCCGACGAGCCTAACATCCGGTTAGAAAAGATAGAGGAAAGCATTCATCAGCTTATGGTGCAGCAAGCACAGCAATTCGAATTCATCCGCAAATTAGCATCTGAAAGTAATGAATCACTTCTGTCTATTCAAACTCGGCTTTCAGATATAGTCACTCCAACAAACCATTTCAGTGAGGTCGATGCCTCTGATCGCACGTAAGTTAATGTCCCGCACCGTGAAGACATCAGATATAGCCACTAACATTTCTGCCAAAATTTTGAATGCTGACAGCTCCAGAGAAGTGACCACTGCTTCAGTCGATGAAACAGAACAACCAGCTGTTGAACCAAGTTCTCCATCACCATCCACTACGGCTCCTCATGGAAACATGGTTTTTTATACATGTCTTGTGATAGGGTTTATTGTGTTTTTTTGTCTCGGTAGAAGCCAGTCCGGACAGGTCTATCACATCGGCTACGGCGCAGACAGAGCCACAATTTAAGATGAATACTTGTCCTTGAAATCGTACAACATTTATTCTTCCTTAAACTTATATTTCCTTAGTTGGGCTTTGACGATTTGGATGTCTATGTAAGATATCAATTTTATGGCTTTGTAATGGTTCTCGTCTCACTGCTCCAAATCACGAGAAAATTTCAAGGATAAGAGTTGAGTATACAACTCCTATCCGAGCAGACCCCCTGTGACCCTTGAAGATGACGTTTTGAGAAATGACCTGTCATCAATTTGTGACAGATTGATGAAATTCCAAATGTACTCACTTGAAAAATTCTGTCTGCACAGCTTGCACGGCATGTGACCCAATCCGCTTCGTTCACGTCTGTTTGACTACGTGCTTTATCTAGCCCCTGTTTCTTCCACTTCAACGTCTTACCGAGTCAGAAAGGAACCGCAGAAGCTCATCTGACCGAATAGATACAGTCAATTCAGAAAACCTTGTCACAAATTCCCCACGAATTTACTGGAGTTTTGCGGGCAAATTTGGTCAAGTTTTTGTGAATTGACTGTGTACATACTTCCTAGCCCCTGTTTCTTATACCTGCCGAGTCAGAAAGGAACCGCATCAAACCAATTATGCTCAGCAACATTTCCCCTCCTTTCGCAGCTGCTTTTCAAATTTCAATCAAAAACTCAATCTCGAACACTTTGATACCAAGATGTCTTTGCCACTAGCAACTCTTGAAGAAACTTCTTCAAGTTTGACTCGAACTGAAATTGCAAGCTCAACTTCAATTCCATCATCTCGCAAAATGCAACGAACCTCACTTAAACAAACCCAAATCCAACACAATAAAACAGAATCAGAATCAGAACTGAACGCATGGCTAGCATTAAACCCATCAAAACCTTTTCCAATCCTCAACTTACCTATCACCATCATACTCCAAATCTTCACAAGTTTAGATATACCAGATTTAGATTCACTTAAATCAACAGGTCATCAACTTTTAATGAGTTTAGCAAATGATTCAGTTTTACATCAACATCGATTAAGATCAGTTGGAACCACATGTTTAGAACCTTATTTACTAAACCGACCTAACCGATTAGATTTAGCAAAAAGTAAAATACTAAAAGGATTGAATTTAGAATTCAAAATCAATTCTGGATCTTATTTACATTCACCTACATCCATCAAAACGTATGAAACATCCGAAAAAATTAATCGATTGATCATCAAAAACAAATTAACTAAAGCTTTAGAAAGTAGACCGATCTTTTATCAATTAACTTCTTTTAATTTGATTGATGAAGAGTTGAAAAATGAACATGTTTCGGCTAGTTTGGCTCCGATGATTAGGTCACTCAAACGGGAGAGAGTTAAAGATCAGTTGGCTCAACAAATGAGGTATAATAAGCTTTTGAATGGAATTCCAATCCACCCTTCAAAATGTTGGGAAGGATCGAATTGATTTATTGTGTATGACGAATTTGAAAGGTATAGGTAGACCATCGTCTTGGTGAGTTTCCAATCTAGATTACCAGTTGCCTTTGAAAGATGAACTGATAGTGGATCTCTTGGTTCATATCTCAGATGGTGTGATGCACTCCTGAACCTCACAAATCGGGCAACTACCTGTAAACTTGGATCAATGATGCCAACAATAACTACCTTCACTTACGGAAAACCCTCAATCTCTCATTGTACCAGTGATCTCTATATTCTATTTTGGGTAATCTTCCTTCTACTGTTCTGTTCCATTGAAAATCTATCATGTATCCTGTGCTCACTTTGGAATTGTGTGCATGTAAGATCCTAAAACACGATTCTTAAGCATATATGTATATCTCAACAGGCATTATTCAGTCTACAAGACTTTAACCTGGTATATATACATTTTGACCAGCAAAACTTGTACTTTCCAACACGTCTTTCTGTTTTTATTATCAATTTTTCTGTTGTTTTGTATTACTTGGGGTCTTTTGTCTTCAATTATCTGTGTACTTTTTCTTGAAATCCTTATACTTCAAACCAAGTTGACATAATTCTCATCCTTTCAAATGATTACCATATTACATGATTTAAAGTTACTTCTTTACAATCAGTTCAGAAGACTATTCAACTACCAATTCAAGATCACAAAGTTTCCTAGCTGGTAATCTGGATTTCAAGAATTTATGTGAATTCCTATCTCTATTGAACATGTAGGGACTAGGACACAAGCTAAGGAGTATTGTCTCTAAGCTCTCAGACTTATGCTACCCTCTACTAGGTTAACCTAGGTTGAGAATACTGTGGGGGATGCCTTCAGTCTGGAGGTGTATTGGGGTAACCTCAACACATGGTCTTTAGATCCTTGAGTTTTTTGAATCCCCAAATCTCTCTGGGCTCTGGGTTGTGTAAAGTGCCTGAAAACATCCTGTCCTAGGTTACCCTGCCTTGGAGTGATGAGGATTACTGCCAACAAAGTTGCCTCAATGATTTGAATCCGAGGTATCATCAGACCAAATTACCTTGGACACAAACCCCTGATTGGAGTCTTCTTTTTATCCAAATAAAGCCTTAGATCATTACCTTGGGCTGTGTTTCCAAGGGAATCTGATCTGATGATACCTTGGATCCAAATCATTGAGGTAACTTTTTCAGAAATCATTCTGTGGCTACTTGCCCATGATCCCCCCTCTCTGTGTTTCTCACAAATGTAAATTACCGGTGACTTGAACAGCTTGCTGATAATTTGACTGTCAAGCTTTATTTTGTGACTTGCATCCATGGTGACATCTCATGGTCCCCTCATACATGGGCAAGATGCGCAAGCCTTGCCAGGTTGGGGCACCTGACCCTCTTCATTTCATGTTTTTCAACAACTCATTCTATACCTAACTTCTTTAGGCATCCGCTATGCATTTCAACTGATCAAATATCAAAGTTCTTCAAGTAGTGCTTGCAATGCTGGACAACTTGCACTATAAAAAATGAGCACCACTGAGATCTTAGTTTTCATCCTGGCGTTACTGTTGGCTTGATTGAGCTATGTACTTAGTGTTAGCTGGGATTATCCTGTAACACTATCACAACACTGTAAACATCATTCAACTTCCCCAATTTGGCAGAGGAAAATGATTAATAGTACAGTTTTTCATAAAAGAATCTAATACTGCACACCTGGGCCATTTCACCCACACTACATATGTGCAGCAAGCTAAGTCAATAGTTGTCTATCATGTACATACAGGTCTGCTCAGTTTTTTGCCCATCAGAATAAATAAATCACATGTTATACCACATGTAACTTTTTCGACTTTGAAATTTTTTTCCCAAAAATTCACTACATATAATTCTGTAGCTGCTCAGGCAATATTGTTGAAGCTATGTCTTAGTAACAGAAAGTGTGTTACATGCAGTTGAGTTGATGAGATCACACCAAAACATTGAGTCAGTGTATGTAGTCAATCTTTTGGAAGCTTTTTTCAATCTGAAAGAAGTTACAGCATGTATTACATATGAATAACTTGTCCTGATGAGCAGATAACTGAGCAGAACTGTATGTACATGATAACCACATATTCACTGAGCCTGCTACACATATGTAGTGTGGGTGTTATGGCTCAGGTGTGGAGTGATAGACCATTTTATGACAAATCATACTCCCAATCATTTTTCCCTGCCCACTTGGGGAACCCGAATAATGTCTGCAGTGCAAGTGATAGTCTTGATGTTCAGAATATCAGATAGAGGTCTAAGAGTGGAATTGTCGTCTGTAACATCTACTGGCAGATATGTCATAAAACTGTCAGCTGAAGCAAGCCGGCCACCTTCATATGAAACAAGTGATATTTTTTGAAGGGTCATGTGGAAATATTTTTAGTCAATTTATTCTTTCTAGGTCTTCTAACAATTGTATCACTCAATTCATCAACTAAAAATTTCAAAAAATTACTTGTTGCAGAAGAAGAATTGGAAGTTGATAAACAAGTTGAAGGGTATAAGAGTGCTAATAATCTTGATGATATAAATACTACATCTTGGATTCAACTCTCCATTTTGAACTTGTGGTTTGATTTCATCTTCTTTTTCTTTCAATCCACTGCCTGCATAGTTGCTTCCAACTAGCCCAATGTCTCATGGTGATTGGTTGATTTTATTTATTGGTTTCTTCATTTGATTCTCCTTGGAGTTGGAGATCTATTGAATTGAATCTTACTATTGATGTTAATGATTTAATGGATCATATGAAGGTTCTGAGAAAATGTTGAATATCTAGCACAAGATTTCTTAAGATTGTCTCTGTCAGAACCAAACAAGGATTAATGAAATTTGGGACAATAGTCCTGATCTTTGTGCAACAATGGACGGTGAAGAAGGTGTAGGTCAATATTGAGAAGAGTTTGAAGATGATGGAAGAGAGGACAGTGTGGGTCTTTGTCAATCAATCAAAAGGGCGTCCATTGTAATGCCAAACACAGAGCATAGATCATGACGTGGTTGTGGAATGACCTATTTTAATAAAAATAAGTCAATATTTCACTGCGGGATAACACTTTTCTCAAAAAGCCTTGAGGTTCTTGGCAATTTTCTTCTAGAGAAATTGATTTTGAAGTTAATTGATGTATCTTCACCATTCTCCACTCTCCAATTTGCAGATATGTGGGAAGTACTGGGTATCAGGTAATTTAATCTCATTAGGCTCATTGGCTTCCCATATGAGGTATCTGATGCTTTGTGTTTGTGGGAAGTTACATCCATGTCCATCCAGGGTAAATCCTTTGGTGTGAAATTGCAAATTGGGCACCTGAAATCAAATAAAACACTGGGAATGTTTGCACAAAACAGGTTCAGTGTAACTCGCCCTGGTGTGAAATCAAAGACCTTGTCTGGGTCCACAATTTTCACACCAAAAATCTTTATACAGGCCATCAATGTCAAACAGATTCAGTATAAACATTGAGAATGACTCTGGGCTCTGGATTTTTAGACAGGGTCATTTACACAGGGAGATTTCATACAGGATGAAAAATATCAAACCAAGTATAAAATTCAAAAAGGAATTTTTGGAACTTTACACCAAATGCTGTTTACACAGACCCACCTGGTGTAAAGGGGTCTGTGTAAAACTCTCCCACCCCATTGTTTCATTTGTGTTGATTTGGTTTCCTTCACCTCTTAATCCTGATGTTATGAAGATATATTATTATGATTCAAAGCCAACATTCAAATGTATCCTGGTATCATTTCAAAGTGTTTTCATTCATGTTTTTTCTCTTGTTACAAACATCAACCACCTCTTGATACTTTACATATCTAAGTGTTGCTATAAGATACCCTAGACTGAGTGTTTTGTTTATTTCTATCTGTTTCTGTTCCTGGTCAGTTATGATGACATAGGATTTCATTCCATTTTTTATTTTCATTTCTATGTAAAGAATTTATTCAATCTCTCTTACTTTTTCAAACTTTGACAACATCTCATCTCTTCACTTGACATCTTTCAAACACTGCACCAATTTATGTTAGAATGAGTTTCCTGTTGATTGTTGATCAAGGTTCTCTGGCTCATTCAATTCTTACTAGTAAAATCAAAATCAGTTACCTGGCCAACCTTTGTGGCAGAGAATCTGAATCATATCTACTTCAAAGATTATCTACAAGATATTATAGAATGATGAAGGTATCTAATTCCTGTTCATATCAGCCCTGAGCCCTGATTACACGACCACGGGCTAACAGTAACACATGTAATATTATATTCTTGTATAAATCCATAAGTACATCTCACGGCTCAGTGTCAAGAGCCACATAAACACATGTGCATAATGTATTAAATATGTAACAAACCTAACCCAAGCGCCAACCACAAGTGAGACAAGAATCACACGCCAACCACAAGTTGACACTTGACCTGTGAATATATAAACCCCCCTTCTTCCCTTGATTCATCCCCCATCTTTTAACACATCACAACATTAGAATCACATTATACTTGAAATCCTATAGAGAGGATCTTTGAGTACATGATTGGTTGTGTAGTCTAAAGACCAAACTTGAGCATCACGGGTTCTATTGCTGAGCACCCCGGTATTGATTTCTACAAGCCTTGGGCCATCATATCCTCTAGAAATAAACTGTAAAGCAGCAAAGCTTCCTCCCTTATATGGAGTCTAAAGTAGCCTTCAGGATCTTTGGTTCACCAAACTGTAAAGCCTGCCCCTTGCAGTCTCAGGAGGTTAGAGCGTACTAGCTCTTCACCGCCCTTAATTCCTTTCTCTCTTCCTCAAATCCTCTTCTTAGAGGTCAACTAGCTGTAGTCTTCACTTGGGTGTACCACGTTATGACCACACTTTACTTCCCTTATCACTTTCTGAGTGAAGAGTACGCCTAACAGATGCGCACTCCTCACAGTTCATTTGTATTAGATACCTTGCCTGACTTGAAAATACTAGATTTTCAGCCAAGGGTGCCACACTCAAAATCTTTGAGAATTTTATTCAGACAATGAACTTTTTGAGAAATAATGATCTTCATAAGCACCTCACCATGTCCGTGTGGTGTTTGTTTGTCAACAAGTGCACACAAGTTGCCTTTGTGCCTCAAAGGCAGTCCGTATGCGCTTCTTGTCAGGCGACTGCCACAAGGACACAGTGCTTGCTGATCATGAGATCCCAATGAATTCAGTACTTTTTTGAGTCCATATGTCAATCTCATGCACAGACATGGAACGGGGGAAACTCTACATATAATGTCTCTTTCCCAGTCCTCCCATTACTATACCTTTAAGGTATGAATGAATTACATATGCAATCCTTCTTGTTCACCAAAGAACTTGTTCTACCACTGAATACAACCTTACCTACTTGTAAGTATCACATTACGAGTGGTGTGTGGGGGGTCTCTGGGTATGCTGATACAGCAAGCTACAAGAAGTGTGCTGTCATCTGATACCCATGAGAATGAGAGCAAGTTCTGAGGCGGGCTGACTCCTCAACCCTGGGAGGTGGGTGAGTTTTTAAAGACAAAGAATTTGCTATCTATGAAACAAAAGAGAACACAAAGCTACTCAAAGGGAAATACTCTGGAGTTGTTCCAAGCTGAGAGAGTGGCTGAGGAAGAAGTGAAAAAGTTTTTCATTTCTTCTAAATTTGGAACCCGCCAAATTCCTGCTCTGTGAAACCTGTCCTTTCACAGATGCCTTCTCTCACCTTGGAGTTACACCTCTGTGTTTTTCCCTGTGCCCTAGAAAAATGGACCTCTGTGTACCTCCACCAGCTCTGGGAACACAACCAAAATTGAAGAAATTGAAAAACATGTTGCACCTTGAGTTTTTTCACCTGGAAGAAGTTATTTATAAAGATTCCCTCTGCAATTGGTTTGTCTGTAGTCTGAAACTAGATATTTTTTGTTTGATCAAAAATCCCTTCATATTTCACAGATTCACTGACTGAGAAATAGAGATGAACAAGATTGTGTTTTTTCTATCTATAAATCAAATTTAAGCTTTCTGAACATTGGGATCTTGATATAACCCTTATGAAGCTCTATAACAAAAAAAATCATTATACACAAGATGAGAATATACCAAGGCCTGTTAACTTCAAAGGGGTTTTTAACCAACCAGGAATTCTTAAAATCTCAAAAGAGATCAAGAAAAATTAATCGAAATAACATGTAGTTTCTTAATCCATGAAACTTAGACTTGTTTGGTCTCTTTAACCTATATTTGGTCCATAACTTTACCTTCATCTTCATATATGTCAGTAATTATTATCCAATTTAAAAAAAAGAACTCAAGCCCATCATTTTTTTCTGGTTGAATAGATTCTCAAAGTTCAAGTTTCATGATGAATTTCAATTCAACCACCTAAGCACATCAAGTAATAATAAGGATACTGAGAGTGATTCCATGTGAGAGATCAAATCAAAGTGACTGTTGACAATTTGTAATATCATTCATTCATATGGATTTTTCTCAACTCTTATCATCCTACTTGAAGGGAAATTGTGTTCCCATATAAAGCTCGAGTCACTCCCAATCCCCGCTCAAAAAAAAATGGTTCACATGCTCTTGAGATGTGAAAAATCATGTTGTAAGGTTGGATTGAGGGTACATTGATTGATGGATTTGGATTGAGTTGGAATTGGTTTCTAAAAGGTTGATTCCATACCATTTGAATGGAGTGAAAAATTTTGATCGTAATTAATCAAATGGAAAACTTGTTTTTGATTCAGTAAAAAGTCTGAAGTCAATCAACTTGAAAAGAATTATTTTTGATAACCCAACAAACGATAGATTTGAATCGAATCAAAATTGTTTGAATAACTGATTATATTGCTGATTTGAATGACCAAAGTGATTGATTCAGAATCGGATCAAGGGCTGTTGAAGAGCTGTCCGGTAAACTCGATTTGGTCCAGGACTCCAGAAACTTCTGTTAAGTCTACGTTAAGATCTTCCACCTCGTGGGTTTGGTGGGAAATGGCGATGTTACGAAGATGTTGAGATGTTGGGATGTTGAGATTGGCAGATAGAATTAATTAGAGAAGAGAAAGCCGATTCGGAAATTCATGAGAGCCCCTCAACGAGCACGAGCGCTTTTGCCGGAACGTTAAACTTCTTCCAAATCCAAACTGAAATAAAGAGTTTAGGGGAAATTTCAAGTTAAGGCGTTTATGAAAGAGGAGGTCAAATTTACCATATGTACATACAAAACTCTAGCAAATTGGTGGAGGATTGGTGATAAGGTTTTCTAAAATCCATAGTACCACCATCACACTCATCAACCTCGTCATCGAATCTTATCATAACTTTTTGAAAGAAGTCTAACTATAACTATCATAGAAGTCGATTACGAAACATTCAGAATAAATCATCATCATCATCATTATCATCATGAAGACCAACGAATTACCGATGCCTAGACCTGAAGATATAAAAATGTAAGAAAACACCATCAATGCTTTGAAAAGAAACATCGAAAAAAACCAAACCTGATAAGCAGATCGTGTTTGTTGAAAAAAAAAGAATCATGACAGATGTAGTAAGTGTTTTCAAAAGTCCTTTCAAAACAAAAAAAAGAAAGTCGAATAAGACTAATAAGAGAGATTATCTTGATTGGTACAACTTTTAGGATGGTACATTCATAACAGATCAACAAATCGTACATCAAACCACTCGTTCAGCCATCCAAAACATCCGATTAAATTACCCTGAAATACCTATAATCGTCAGCACAGGAAAACACCGAAGTGCATGCGAGTTAAGTTCCTCCCTCCCTCCACCTCAAATCCTCTCGAAATCTGATTTTCTTGCTTGTTTTTTGTTTTGTTTTTTTCAGTTGGTTTATAAAAGAATTAGGATTTGAAGACTCACCTGCAGCTAGTTGTCATGGAGCAATCTTACATGGTTCATATGGAAAGATGATCTCTTGTAAAACTTTAGAACCTCAAGTTGCTTGGGAAATTGTTCAAGTTGCTAAAAGTTTAAATCGAACTTGTTTTCTTTTTACGCCTGAGGATGTAATGTCATTTCTTTATTTTCTAATCTTTTCGTTTTTTTTCAAGAATTGATCGTGTGTTTTTCTGTTTACTTTTTTTTTTCTGGTTACTTGTTTTTTTTTTGGATACTTGATTTTTTTTTTCTTTTAGGTTGTACTTGTTTATGAAGAAACTAATCCGAAAAGAGATTGGGTATCTATTGTACGTAAGATTGAAAAGAATTTAATAGATGGAAAAGATGAAACCTTTTTAGAAAAAGTTAAATTAGGTGAAGTAAGTCTTCCCCAAAAAACACATAAACCCATCAAACCCCAAAACAAACTAAGCATTCATATGATTAAATTCAATTCGATCCAGATAAAGATAATCAAAGCGACAATTCCCGTAGAAGAACCATCCATGATCGAAGTCCAATCATCCTTCCAAACCGATCTAATCTCCACTCATCCTCAATTATCATTAACAACAGCCTTACCATTCGTTTTAGAAATCGTTCAAAAATCTATTAACAAATCAGTTGCATTAGATCATTTTTGTCATCAGTTTAAGTGTGGACCTGAACATGTTTTGGCTTTTGGTGATGGAATGAACGATTTGGAGATGTTAAGCTCTGCGGGATATAGTGTGGCTATGGAAAATGCTGATGAAAGACTTAAGTCGGTGGCTAAGTTGAGTTTTTTGGATTTTTTTTTGGTCTTTTGGAATAAGAAAAGGTTTTGGTTTAAGGTATTGATGATGGGTTTTTCTGTTCTTTCGGGTTTAGGTTTGTGACTTTATCTAATAATGAAGGAGGGGTTGGAGTTTTCTTAGATAAGATCTTTAGAAAATGATCATTTGAAGAGTTGGTTAAACATCTTGAATTATTTCATTGTTTTTTTATATTTTGTATGTCATCTTAACCAAGTTATTTTATGTTTATAATTTATATTTATATTTTTCTTTGAATGTGAAAAGGAGAAGGGTACAAGGTTTTTTTAGGTATGCATCTAGACATATAGATTGTATTTTGGATGATTATAAGATTATGAAAAATAGATTTTTAAATTCGGTATGAACTGGTGCATTGTAATGATGAAAACCATTTATGATTCAAATCTTATTGAGTTTAACTTTCTAATACCAGATTAAAAATCAGTTCAAAGAAAGCTTTTCAGTTAAAAGTTTCTTAAAAGTTGATCAATCTTAGAATAGGTTTTGGTAATCCTACGATTTGAGAAATGATAAAAAAGTTTCATATTTATAAAGTGAGATCAATTCACGATTTCTTCGAGATATCTTTTGCAACTATTTTGATTAAAATTGATTTTTTACAAACAAGAACAAGATGAAGTATTTGATTTATTTATTTTTATTGATTTCTTTCCTTGATTTCTATACATCTGAATCTACTTCATATCCGAAAACCAATCTTAATCCAAGAAATCCTAGTAAGTTATTTTCCAGATTTCTTGTCGCTTTCCTTTTGTTTGATTGTCTGACTTTGGTTTTGGTTTCGACGCTTTAGATGTGAATGAAGAAATGCAATCTGATCAATTGATTTCAGTTCGAGATCTTTCAAATCAAGATTCTATGAATCATGAAAATATCAATCCTGATGAACTCTCAAAGACACAACTCATAGGTGCGTGGGTGTCTTGGTACAATTTCTTTCTACCAAAATCAGTTTGCTTCTATCCGATTGCTGATGAAGTATCTGATGATTTGTTTAATTTAAAGATTCGAATTCTAGTTTACCATTCGATAATTCTAGTCTTACCAATCTCACTCTCAGCCTCACTAATACATCAAGTTTACGATTCATCAATAATAATTCTTCAAACCTTACTTCTTCTAACAATTCTACAATTTCAAATCCTACCAACCAATCCAACTCAAGACCAGAAAAGAATAAATTACCAATCAATGATTCTATTCCAACAACTAATCCGACCTTCATGAATTCTAGTTTACCATCAAATACCAAAAACTTAACTGATTTGATCAACAGAAAGCTTACTTCACCATTCCAGAATACCACGAATTTCAATACTTCAATAGATGATTTTTCTTTACATTCGAATACCTCGAGTAGTCCGATGATTGAGAATGTTAGTTTACCAACTAATACTTCAATGACTTTGGTACCTGAGAATATTAATTTCACAAACATGTCTGTTCCATTACTTGATCATTCTATATTCCAATCAAACCAATCAAGTACCATCTTATTACTTGGAAACAATACTTTTGGTTCTTTGAATGTGACTTTCGAAACCGGTTTGATGATTGATAATTATACTTTAAATGGTCTGAATGCTACTATTTTGGCTCATTTGAGTATTGATAATCTTACTAGTAGTAGTACGGGGAATTTGAGTAGTTTGAATGATTCGCTGGCTAGGGATTCTTTGGGTAGTTGTGCTAGTGGTTATGGGGTTGGAAGGTTTGGGTATGGGTTGGGTTTTGGTACATTTGGGTTTTGGGTTTTGGGTCTTTGAAGATTTGAGATTGATTACTTTCTTGATTATTGTGTGTTAAATATTTAAAAATTTATGTGAAAGTAGCAATTAGAAATCTTGATTTTATTGTTTACAAAATCAACTCTGATCTAATATTTTCTTATACATTTTCTAAGTTGGTAAATAAGAATTGTTTTCCAATCACTTTTTGGTTCCCTATAGTGATCATATTCTTAGAAAAGATTTTGTTGTCCAATCTTTTTGATCAACAATTTACATATGTATGCGTCACAGAAAATATACTGAAATTCATATTACGATGTAGCAGATAATGCAATGTGATATATAGAAACATCAAGCGTTTTGAGAAAATGTGTTGCAGAGATTCTGGGGATTTGGAAGTATCATTTCTAAAACCCATTACGGATCATATATTTTTAAAAAAATAGTCAAGAATCACTGATCAAAGTAATTTTGTTTTGTTTAAACCCATTTGCTCAGAGATTGGTTAACCTACAATACCTTTAAACGCTTTTGAAAGAAAGAATTCAGTACAATCAATCGTGTTAACAATTCAATCAGATATGTACATATAAATGGTAATCAAAGTGATTTCCTCAAAGTTTGTAAGGGTTTCTTGACTTTTACCAGTTTCGATATATCCGTCTTTAAAAAAAGATACGTCTGATTCATTCATCCTAGATACACGACCTTGGGATAAAGTCATGATGAGTCAAGTCTTTTATTTTACAAAAAACCTATGGTTTTTTTCCAGAATGAACTCGGTTTGAACGTTTGAACTTTGAGGTAAACTCGGTGCACGGTTTCTACTCTGAGACGAAAGCTCTGTGTAAGAAAAACCTGATCTGTTAGTCAAAGATTTCATAGATAAAAAGTCAAAAACTAGTTTCTGATGAACTTGTGAAAGACTCTTGGACCATGATCAGCAAGCAAAACGTTTAATTTTGAGATCGGATATGTTAGTTGATGAGTTGGAAACTCGGTTATGGGAATCGTTGGAATCCAGTCTGAGTGATGGATCAGAATAATTGGTCTCGGAATGGATCTTGATACATGTACGCTTAAGTTTGATATTCGTTAAAAGTCTCATCTAAGATATCTAACCTTGACCTTCAAGTTTTCAGTGATCATCGGGTTGTGGGTTCAGAGATCTGAAATCTTTGAAGTCTTGGTTGTGAAAAATTTGGGAAGTCGGTTTTTGGTTGATCGATCAGTAAACTTCTTGGATTGGTGGATTCCTGTTGATTGGTTTTTTATTTTGAGAGTCTTTTTGGTTCTGGTAGATCTTCTTTAACTGGATTTTTTTCTTTTACGAAGAAAGATATCTAAGTTGAAAAAATGGTTCATGAACTGGTTTTTGTACTATAAAAGTCTTCCATCACTTCTGTCCTCTTTTTATTTTGCCCATCCATCTTCACTTTATCCATTCATTGAATCGTCTTATCTATAGAAAAAAATTGATTGTTTGATTTGCTTTTCTTTTCGTTATACTTCTTGAATAGAATCAAAATGAATCGTCTTACAAGTTCATTAATCTTATGGATGATTTCTTTTACATTTTGTTTATCTGTTTATGTACCACAAAACTTTTCAAAAGATTACCAAATCATAGAGAATCAAACAGATCATCAGAACGTTTCTTTTCCAAAAAGTTCAAATACTACTCATCATCATAACAAAACTCATGATCGTAAGTTTTCCATCACCTTGAATCCGTTCAAAATCAATGCTTTATCTAATTCTTTTTTTTTTTGTTTTTGTTTGGGTTTTGATAGATCATCATCAACCAAAAAAAGTAAACCCAAAAGTTCTAAACCATTCACGTGTACACCTTCCTCGACGTAAACACAAGAACCATACCCACTCTGGAAAATTTAATTCTAGTTTACCACATAATACTACTAATGGTAATTCGAGTAAAGTAGATTGGAATTGTAGTTTACCTTTTGATGTGACTAATATCAGTACTAGTGATTGGAACTGTAGTTTACCTTTTAATGGGTCTAATATGACGGGTTTAATGGATTGGAACTCTTCTTTACCTTTTAATGGGTCTAATATGACGGGTTTGATGGGGTGGAACTCTTCTTTACCTTTTAATGGGTCTAGTCTTACTGGCTTAATGGAATGGAACTCTTCTTTACCTTTTAATGGATCTAACATGACGGGTTTGATGGACTGGAACTCTTCTTTACCTTTTAATGGATCTAACATGACTGGTTTAATGGATTGGAACTCTAGTTTACCTTTGAACGGATCGACTACTGAAGACTGGAACTCTACTAGTACTTTGGCTCTTAATGCTACTGATGATACTCCTGAGAGTGATAGTGATAGTGATGATCCTTTTGCACCTGATGATGCGGTAAATGGGACTGGTAGTGATGGAGATGGGAATTGGAATGCTACTACTGATTATAATCCTTCTGAACTTAAAGAACAGTATGCTCAACCTATTTGATTGGTTGGTTTCTTGATCAGTTGGTTTCTTGCTCGGTTGATTTCTTAATTTCTTGTTTTCTTAATTTCTCGTTTTCTTAATTTCTCGTTTTCTTAATTTCTTGTTCTTAATTTCTTGATTAGCTGATTTTTTGATTGGTTGATCCGAAGTTGGTCCGATTTGATCGTGATGTTGGTCTTGTGATTTTTTTTCTTTCTTGTCTCTTCACATACAACATACTTGAAGTATTTTTTTGTATGCGTGGTTAGTGAGGTTTATGAGGTTTCTTTAATTGTTTTTCCTTGATTCCCTATCGTATCCAGTTTCAAAAATTGTTATTTGATTTATTAAAGAATCGGTTCATAATTTTCATTTTCAAGTTTTTTCTCTCGTAGTTAGAATAAAAGATTATGCAAGTTAAAAAATGTGATTGCTTGTGTTGCAATTTGCTAGCCTGCTTCAACTTGCATGCATGAAATTCACATTTTTGAAAATTGTTGAGAGAATGTGAAATTTTGATTTGTTTGTTTACCAGATTTGCTGGGCTTGATTAAGCTGAATACACAGTTGCTGTGAGAAATGAGTTTGATTGAGTGCTGTGAATTTAAGTGTGTTGTAACTTAGAGGTGACTGGTTGATAAGCATAGAACTGACTTCGTTGTGAGTCTCATGATCTTGACTACAATTGATACCGAGGGAATCAAAAGTTTACCCCTCTTTCTCTTCATCCGGCCGTCCTCATCCTATCCCGATTCCCATCCATATCCAGCTGACTTTGGATGTGGTGGCGCAGGGTCTTTTGAAAGTTAAAGTTAACAAATTGTATTCTTCGATCGAAACTTAAAAAATTTAAATCAAATTTGGATTCTGTAAAACATATTAAACGGACATTGCACTGACGCTTCCAACGGACAAACCAAACCAATTCTTTTCTTTTCTTTTTCTTATTATTCTTCAAAACAACCATCGATTCAAGTCAAGTCAACGATGATGAATGAAGAACCAGAATCGATTTATGAAACTGAACATCAAGAAATCAAAGAAACTCGTCATGACAAATCCAATCCAAAATCAACATCGACTTCATACTTGAGTTCAGGTACTCTAACACCATTTTGTGATTCACCAACTCATCAATTCTCATTCAACTCATCACAATCACATTCACAATCACCTACTCATCATCATCATCATCAAAATCTAAACTACAAGTTTCATTCACCACCAACCCGAACTTATACCGGTACTTCTTCAATCCCATCTGTCAGTATCACTCCATCTCTCTTTGATGATTCACCACAACCTACTACACCTCCAACTCTATATGATGATCCGATCTCAACTAGCGATCTTGTTTCACCAAGTCCAACGATTCAATCTTTTCCAAACTCCTTTCAACCCTCAACTCATTCCACATCAAAATCATTTTCAAATCATCTTTTATCCAAACCCAATCAAATCCCATTACAATTACCTAGTTCAAGTCTGATTAACCATCGAAGACATTCATCACAACCTTCGACACCGATCCCAGTGAAAGAAACTTTCAATGGATCGATTTCTTCCTATGGAACCAAAGAAGGACAAAGAAAATTGAACCAGTATTTGTTGATTAAAACGATTGGAAAAGGGTCTTATGGATCAGTGGAATTGGCTCAAGACTTGAGTTCGAATGAACATCAACTTTACGCTATTAAAGAGTATAGTAAATCTAGGATGAGAAAGAGAGCAAGGGTTTTGGATTCTAGGATGGGTCATGGTGGGTTTAGAGGTCGTAGACCTCCGAATATCTTGCTCGATTCGGGGTCCACTTCGGGTTCGGCTTCGGGCTCGGCTCATTCGATTAAAGTTCCCGTTAGATCTATGTCGGATGGAATGGGATTGGTGAAGGCTGAAGTGGCTATTATGAAAAAATTGGCTCATCCTAATATCGTTTCACTCATCGAAGTGATAGATACAGATACAGATAGTTTATTCTTTGGTAAGCTCACAAAAACAAATGACATTCTCTATTTTGTTCAACTTTGTTCGTGATTTTCATGAATCTGATTTTCTTTTTCTTTTTTTTTTAAAACAGTTTTAGAATTATGTCCATACGGATCAGTCATGCCAATAGAACTAGGAAAAGATCCAAGTTCATCTCGTTTATCTATCAACCAATCTAAGAATATCTTTAGACAAATCGTTTTAGGAATTGAGTATTTACATTTTAATGAGATCTTACATCGGGATATTAAACCGGATAATGTGTTGTTTTTTGATGATCCTACAAAAACCGAGATGCCTTTGTGTAAGATTGTGGATTTTGGAGTTAGTGAGAAGTTTGGTAAGGATGGAGAGTTGAGTGTTTGATCTTTTCTTTCTTTTTTTTTCTTTGTTTGGTTTGGTAATTAGATTGGTCTGAGATTTTTTTTTTTCATAATAGTGATACTACCAAAAAATTAGCTGGTTCACCTGCTTTTATTTCTCCTGAACTTTGTGCTTGTAAGTCAAACTTTTAAAACCTAAACCTATTTAAACAAAAACCGGAAAAGCGAAACTGATTTTCCTTTTCGATGTATGATAGCAACTGGTGGAACAAGAGGAAAACCAGCAGATATTTGGGCCATGGGTGTTACCTTGGTAAGTTCCAAGAATTCTTTTTTTTTTCTTTCACGGTTTTTTTCAAATTAATTTGTTAATTCTTTTTTTGGGGGGTTTGGGGGGTTGGTAGTATACACTTGTGGTTGGGAAATTGCCTTTTGAGGATACGAACCAATTAGCATTATGTGAAAAGATTATGAAGGATCCGTTAGTAGATTTGATTTTCCTATTTGAATAATCCAAATCTCGATAGATTTGTTGACTTTGATGTCTTTTTTTGGGTGAGGTGTATAGACTTTTTATACCTGATGGACTGGATCCGGATCTGGAAGATTTATTGAAAAGGTTATTAGATAAATCACCTGATTCTCGAATCGAAATGCATGAGATCAAAGTAAATGAATTCTAAATCCATCCTTGAACATTCATTTGGTTCTGATTTTTTTTGGTTTCGGTTTGGGTTTAGGAACATCCATGGGTGACTAATCATTCTCAAGATCCATTACCAAGTACATCAGAAAATGTCACACCTGTCAATCCACCTACCGAATTAGAAATCGCATATGCTTTTAAAAGTTTAAGGTCTTTGAGTACGATTGTGAAAGCTGTGACTAGGTTGAAGGCTAGGTATAGGTTATCACGTAGAACACTTTCTCATGATGATGATGATGAAATTAAACCTACGATTCTTAGGAATGGGAATTTATCGGTCACACTTGAGAAGGAGAAGGAGAAGGAGAAGGATGGGAAGGAAGAATCGGGTGTACTGGAAGAATCGGGGGTGGATGGATCGGTTTGTTTGTCGCCTGGGTCTTTGGTTCTTGAACTTGAGAGTACTTCTACTTTACCTTCTACTTCTACTTCGTTACTTTCACCACCTTCTAATTTGTTAATTTCTCCGTCTGCTCCTGCTCCTGCTTCTGCTTCTGCTTCTGCTTCTGCTTCTTCTTCTGATACTTTGGGATTTGAAGAATCTTTTGAAACTTGTTTGGATCTCAATCAATGACACTTTTTCTCTCTTTTTCTCTCTCTATGTAGAAGGTCTTTTTCTTTTTTGTTTTGTTTGTTAGTCTTTTTTCTCTTGAAAAATTTTGGATTTGGTTTTTTTTCGTTCGTTTTTTTATCATGTTTGAAAATAAGATGTTTTAGTTTTACTACTTAAATTACTTACTTGACTATCTTTTAATGAATTTTTCTTTTTTTTTTACATACATTGACTTTTTTCTTGTTTAAAGTTAAGTTGAAAATTGTTGAGGGTTGAAAGGATTTTGAGATGAGAATGAGAATGAGATGAGAATAGATTGGTTCATTTTTTTATAGATCGTTTACTGCATCTTCACAAATGCTTGTCCAATCGAAGCAAAAAAAATTGCTGCCGGTTGGACCCATTTGTGAGCTGGACCGTTAATGAGGGTATGTGCATGATCGGGGCTTGGGCTTTTCTAGCTCTGAGCTTTCATTTTGGTGTTACTCGAGCGAAGCAGAGAATTGGAGGACTGCCGGAGGGTGGGATTCACGGGAATGGGAATGGGCTGTATGAGCCTGACCTCACCGCCACGTTTCAGAACAGAGGTTTAGGCTGAGCCTCACTGAGCAGCAGGAATGCAGAAGTGAGTCTACTCAGACTCACTCACTCGGGCGCCCGGGCTTGGTACTCAAGTTGAGTACCGAAGTACAGATTTACACATAGAGTACAGATACTCCCACGGTAATTTTCGGCAGAGTACGCAAGGAGGATGGGACTCATTATGGCCCGGTCGAAGAGTACTAACAAAGTGAGTTTACTCACCAAATGAGTAGACTCACTCGGATGTGTACTCACCGCGAGTACACTGCGAGTACTCACATTTAAAAAAATTGCCAGTCCTCATTATAAATGTGGACTGTCAAGATAACTTTTGATCATTCATTGGCTCCACAGTTCAACCACCCTATGAGAGTCAAGAGCTTACAAGACTGGCGGTATTTGATAAGGTAAATAAAGAAATCATGAAATACAATTCGGAACAAATTGGTTCTTATGATGATCGGGGATATTTCATGAAAGAGTTGAAGACAATTTCACCGATTTAAACAAAGCCAAAAGTGACACCCTTCTTTCAACCCATGGCATCAACTTCAACTGTAGCCTGGTCATTGCCGAGCCAATGACGGAGAAGGACAAGGTGACAGATGGTATCGGTGTAAAGTCGGCCTCGCGATGGCACGGCAATGTTTCCTGAGATTGAGAAAACCCGTTCAACCGAGGCCGCTGCTGCGGCTATGGTGAGATGTTGGAGGGCAATCCGGGCTAACACCGGCAGGGCGCCGGTGGTTGACATACGCTACACAGAGTGAACAAAATCATGTCAGTTGTTGATTTGATGCCAAAAATAAATCAAAATCGAGCTCCTAACACTTACAGTCCAAAATTGGCCAATTGTTTCGCCAGGCAGGACTGGATCTTCCCGAAGGAAGTATCGGTCAAGTTTGTCGAGTGACCGAGTGGCGTTGGTGGACGACGGAATGGCAGTGGTGCCCAAAATCGAGTAGATCTCGTCCAAGTTGTCGAGTTCAGGGTCATGTTCAGCAGGAGGGGTCGATTGTTGAGAAGAGCTAGGTGTTTCTTTGGGTTTCCAAAGGTTATACTCATCACGCAGCTGTTTCTTGGCTGAGGTGGCCACCCCGTCACGATCGATGTGGCCTTCAAAAATCTTGTCCCTAAAACGTGGATCAAGCAGAGTAGACACCAAAGTTTGGGCATTGCCCTCTTCACAAGCCAAATACTTGATGAGCTTCAACTCAGCGCGACGGCAAGCCATCCCCCAATTGCCAAGCACTTGCATATGCTTACGCAACACCTTTTGAATTGCCCAGAGCACCGGTAGGACCTTGTGTTTTGTGGGATCGTTGGATTGAAAGATTTGTGTCGCACGTTCAAACATCTCAAGCACTGGAAGCAAGTATTCAATAGTTGACCAATCGGTTTTCGAGATGGCCAATTTTTTTCGTTTTGGGTCATCGGTGTAGAGAGTCAGCGATTTTTTGAGAAGCAAAGACCGTTGTACCTGTTAAGACAAGCATTGGTGTTAGCGCATGAGTATGAAGAGATTTTGATCGATGAAGCCAATGTAAAAACACTCACTACATAATAGAAGTAGTTCCACCGGGTGGGAGGGCAGCTCATAGGGAGAAGTTCCGGGTCATTTACGCTTTCTCGGATCTTGATGAAGGCCTCGAGTTCTTGAGGACTCTTGCGGATGTGAGTATCCAAAGCTCTAATCCGGCTTACGACAGTCGACTTCTTACGGGTGGAAGGTTCCACGGTGGGTGATTCCTCAGGCTGGGTTTGAGTTGCTTCGGTTTCGACTGACTCTTGCGCTGCCTCCATGTCATAGGTTGCTTGGACAATGTCGAAATCGTTTTGGGTTGGGTCGAGTTCTTCTGACTGAGAGTCGAGGTCCATCAGGATAGGTTCTTCCGGTTCGAAAGCTTGTCGGGGTTCGGCCATTCCAGAGTCCTCGTAAGCAGCGATATCGGCATCAGTCAACTCGCCCATCCCATCGAGGAAATCTTTGGCGACTAGGTTGATTACATGGCACATGCACCCATGAAACCGGGATGCAAAAGGCCAGCTAGTCCCCAACTCGGCGTATCGATTGCTCAAGTAACGCACCATGGAGCGGTTGGAGGAAGCGTTGTCACCGGTAACTGAGTAATGTTTCTGAACCGCTCCCACGTGTTCAAGAGCATTCCAATAGACTTGAGCCAAATTTTCGCCGGTATGTTTGCCTTGCAGGGTCTGAAACAAAAGGAAAAGCAAGCAAAACACAGTTGAGTAAGATCAAGAGGTGAAATCGGGAAAAACCATAAACGCAAGAGACATAAAGACAGTTACTGACCTTGAATGCAAGTAGCCGTCGGCAAAACTTGCCCTGAGAGTTAAAGAAGAATCCGTTAATTGCCATGTATGTGTGAGAAAAATCCGCGCTCGTCCAGCAGTCGGTGGCCGTGGAAATAGATCCAGGCACATGAGAGATCTCTTCGATAAGTTGTTTTTCCAGTTCGTAGAATAAGGCTTCCGAATCTGCCTTGAGAGTCATTCGACCAGGCCATGGGAAGGACGGGCAGATCGCCCGTAAAGCTTTCTCCATCAAAACACCCTCAAAGACCGAGAAAGGAAGGTTTTTGGATATTACCACGCCAATAAGAAGCCTACGGAGCACTTTCATGCGTTCGGCTGCAGCAAGTGGATCCTCGTCCGGAGCAATGCTACCAGGCTCTCGGTTCATCCAGGCTACCGCCAGACCAGGACATTTTCGGCGGTGCTTATGGAGGTTTGAGTTTGGACGACCAGAGATCGTCAGGGCTACACTAACATTGTTAAATAAAATTTAAACATCATTAGTCAGTGACAAATCCGGGTGATCAGATGGGACAAGGTGGTTGAATACTTACGGGCAGTGAAGACAGTAGTAGACCTTGGCTTCATCACCTTTGCCACTTCCATTGGCGGGTCCAGGAGCCGCCTCCGGTTCCTATAATTGGGTTATATGTCAATGTCAATGCTAAACATTGATAAACAAGGATTTCGGACTCAAAAATAGAAGGACTTGCATCATAATACAAGTAGACATCGGACCGGTGGGGATTCGACCTCACAGGGGAGTCATCAACATAGACCTTTTGGTTGGTGGCCTCGCGCGTCACGAGATGTCCAGGTCCATACTGATGGGCTTGCCCATGGTTTGTAGCCAAAATGACGCCTGAGGCTCCACCCACAGCTCGAGAGGTGGTGGACGCTCGAGGTGCCAAAGTGCCATTCGAAGTTTCACGGGACAAAGCCGTAAGACGAGCACTAGAGGTATTGCGAGGAGTTGGAGCTGCTGCGGTTCCCACACGGGTGTAGGGAGATCGCACTGCTGGAGGAGTTTGGGGTGTAATTCTAGGTCTAGGCATGGTGTGTTTGAGAAAGTGTGACGGGCTAGTTTTGAAAGAAAGGGAAGATAGAAAGGTAACAGGGATAGATATAAATCTAGGTCAGAAGTCAGAGATCGATGGATAGAAAGACTTGAGGGGGAGATGGAAAAGGAAGACAACATATATAATATAGAAATGTTGCTGCTCACCGAAGGTCCAATTCCCATTCAAGATCTCCAATATTCATTATATCGGAGTTGACCCACGAAAGCGCTGGTAGCCATAACTCAATGTGGCGAAATGCCAATTGCTGAGCCATTGGCTAATACCTCAATCGTAGGATTGTTTGGCGATTAATTGGCCAGCCACCGTTAGATCGAGCGTGGTCCACAGTTGAAATTGATTGATGGATTGGGTGTGAGGAGAGGATTGGGTGTCGAATGGCTGAATGAAAGCTGAAAGGGAAAGATATAGTGCTTGAAGGTGGTCATCAATCGTAAGCCAACGATATCTTAGGGCGCCGAAGGATATCCTACCGTAGTTGACTTGTCGTGACCTTGTTTGGATGAGTATATAAGTGAGTATACTCATCCAAATATTGTGGGCGCTGAAAGAGGGCTAGTGAGTCAAGGGCGCGGGGACAGGGCACATTTGAGTATTGTGTAATCATGTTACACTTACATGTGAGTATTCTGATACTGAGACAACTCAGTTGGTGCCCATCGAGAGCACCAACTTACTCACCCACGGGGCCAAAACCCGTACAGAGTGAGTATGAGTTGAGTATACTCATACTCACTTCTGCATTCCTGCTGAGCAGTACACAGCAAACTTCTTCGTAAACATTCCTCCCATCGGCCTACATCAAAACCGTACTTTGTCAATCTTGTTAATGCATTATCACAAGGTGGGTACAACAATAAGGGCGCGACATAAAACTAAATTTCATAGATATCGACCGATGTTAACATCCTACTCTGAAGAACCTATGAACAGAGTCCTGAGATTTCATTTGATGATTTCGATTGATAAGAAAAATTAAACTAGTTCTTCACCAAAGAAATCAAAACCGAAATGTAATAGATAGAATGTGTACAATCCTGAAATCTACATATGTATGGATAGATACGAGCAAGCAGAGTTGGCCTGGCCTAGCTGTGCCATCTGGAATGAAATACAAATCTATGAGTTAATAGATACGAGTCGATGGCCTGTACTATAGATACAAGTTGATGACCTGGCCTGGCTGAGCAATCTACTGCTGTAGTTTGTAAAGCAGTCAGAATTGATGAATCGACACGACTAACGTGTGATCTGCCTAGCCCGACTGGGTTTGTAGAAGCCTTGCATCTAAGGGATGAAATGAAGTTGTGTGCACGATATAAATACGGCGGAAGTGATATACGATCAGAGGAATAATCACATTGACAATATCGCTATCACTCATCATGCTTCTGACTACCTTTATTGCCACTCTTCGAGCAGAAAACCCCTTTTGCTTATGTGTTGGAGTGATATATGACTCTCGAGTGTCGGGTTGGCCATTTTTTGGTCTTTTGTATGCTTCGTTGTGGAATAATCACTTCTCTGCTTAATGCAGTTTTTTGAAAAATATCTACCGTGTTTTGGGATGCGTTTGAGCCAGCAGCCTAGTGCGCTAGCTGGAAGTATCAAGACAGTACCTTACCGGATTGGGTGTCGGGTATATTTTGTACGGCTATTCATTTGTACAGCTTCCATTCCCATTCCCATCCCATTCCCAATCTCCGGCAATCCTCTGGTGCTCCCGAGCGAAGAGCCAAAGAGCTCTGCCCAGCTACCCAATCCCCCCATCATCAATTCCATCAACCACCTACTACACTCCCAATCAGCCACGTCACCAACACTTCAACTCAGGAATCATGCGCGAATCGTTTGAGTGTGATTTTGAGATCAGCATCTACACCAACCATGGCGACAGCAGGAATCCAAAATGGAAGACCTACACACTAAAAAGGGGGAACATTTTGTTAGAAATTAATCCGAATCAAATGTCATTTCTCGATCTACAAGCAACTGTCAAGCGGGACTGTAATAACAAAGACAATGAATTAGGTGACCTGATTATGACCGACTTTAATTCAGATGAGAAGCGCATCAAATGGATTGCAACAATCTCAGGGCAAAGAGGTTGGTCAAAAACCCGAGGAAATCAGGTTCATTGTGAAGAACAATTTCAAGCCTGGGCCCATGAGGTATTGAAGGTATCATCTCAAACAGGTGGCCTTTATTTACTGATGGACAAGCCTGTGTTGAAAGTTGATTCTCAAAAGCGAGTGAGTAGTTTCCTTTCGGTCTTTTTCTGCTCCAAGCTGATTGCTTTCTCTCTTGTAAGAACGCTTCTTTAGCCTCAACTCGCCGCTTATGGTCTGTTGGAAATCAAAATAATGTTGGGGTGGGTGGCCAGTCAACTTTCCTACAATTTACACTGATTCTTTTCTTTATACATCCAGAATATGTCCGATTCAGACAGTCATGAAATTGATATCTTAGCCAAGGATCTTCAAGCTCAGAGTGTTGTACGACATGATTTGGATCGTTTTTTCCGTGTATATGAGATTCCCGGCGATGATGATGGATATGTCCTAATGTCACCGGGGAATGCTCAGAAATGGGCCAAAGAAATTGTACGTACCAATGATCTTTATAACACAGTGTTTATGACTGATCTCAATTTTCAACTTCTCAGTTAAACCCTACAACTCACGGTGTTTCACAGATCAGTCCACCGAGAGGCCTGCAAGAGAGTAAGAAAGGCACCCTCAAGAAAAAACATACCCAAACGTCCTATAATCAAGCTGTGGTGGGACCTTCCAATGGTGTCATTCAGAGACCACCTAGAGGTTCTGCTCCGATGGAAGACTACATCAAATTTGTTGGAATTAACGATCCAGTCAAAGTCAATGAAATCATCGACCTTTTCAAACCCCATAGGATTTGAGACTATCACAACTTTCACAAAACCGACGGTTCAATCACCAAAAGCGATCTGTTAGGGTATGGTATTCCAGCTGGTATAATCAGTGACTTACTCGACAATGTTGATTGGTTTGACGAGCATCTTGCTGACAAGGATTAGAAAGGTAATCTATCTCAATGTCATAGCTTCATTTTGAGGAGACTCGCTAATCATCTTTTGAAACTCTGATTTGATTGTTCAGATTTTAGGACGCTTCAGGACTTCATTTGAATCAAATGGTTTCCTTTTCTTACTTTGTATCAAATCTCGTGTATGGTTTTAACACTGTGTCTTGTTTTTGTCTAATTTCTTTATTCTCTTGTATTTTATTGTTTTTGTCTTCTTTATGTACTGATGATCAATCAAGATCTTAATGCAAGTGTAGCAACATTTTGACCAATATTTGACTCGATCAAAGTTGAATTAATCAAAAGTAGATAGTGAGGAACTCGAGATCTCAAAAAAAGTCAATCAGTCAATAAAAAAACTGGGACTTGAGATTTCACATTGAAATGGATTCAATTGGTTGATAAAGATTGAATTGGGATTGATCCATGAAGATCATATAAAAAACTCGATATTGATTTACGACTACTCAAGCTACGAAGGCATAATACAAAAACAACTTTGAAATAGAATCGATCGATCGATAAAAATTGAGATGGGATCGATCCATGAAGATCATATAAAAACCCAATATTCAAAATGAAAAAACTTCTAAACAAGATCCATGAGATCCATGACCATCATTCCTGGAGGCAATAGATACCCACTATTTGCATATAGAGGGGCAAGCAGTTCAGGAGTGATTGCATCAATTGCTGTCTCTCTGATTGGCCAATTTGCATCTTCATTTGCGTTCTCGAGGATGCGAGTTCTCTTGAAGCGTGATTTGATCACAGAGAAACAGTACTCGATGGGATTGAGCTCTGGACAATACGGTGGTAGATATACCAGTAATACACCTTCACCAGACACCATTTCAGCTCGAGAATAACCACTGAATAAGAGTAAAGAACCAAAACCTCACCTGCTGCCTCACAGAGCTCAGCTACTCGCCCGTTGTGATGAATTGAGCAGTTGTCCATCACGAGTACGCTGTTGGGATTTGGGTAGGGTTGCATTTGTGGCAGCTGTCCAACATGGAAGGAACAAAGTGAGGATGTAAAATGATACAGAATATCCTTCAATCACGTACCAGTTGGAACTCCAAGAAGGATTCAAATCACTTGCGATTTATACTGCCCTCTCGGACTGTCAATGCCAAAAGACCATTCAATCCGATTGCAGGAAGTAGAGAGTAGCGGCGAGGATTGTTTCTTCAGACCCATCGATAGACTCGTTCCCCAGATTTTGATCGACCATTTACACGTAGCAAGTCCCTTTCACATATCGAGCTTTCATCTGATGCAAGATGATTGATTCAGCATGGTGATTCCTTCAAGTAGAAGTGGAAACCATACCAGTAAACACAAGCATTTCAGCTGGTATATCTTGCATCCTTTCAACATACTGAGCTTTTCTTTGAAAATCTTTGTTGACATGAGACGTGTTGGCTTTCTTCAAGGTAAGGTGTAAGCAATGATTGAGTTCATTAGCCAGACACTCAACACTAGGGAGCGCTCCAGTATCGTCGTAGAGCTTTTCCCGGATCTCGTCTAAAAAGAGGTCAGGTGATGCAGCTACCAGCTCATTCAGAAAGTCGCGGTCATTGTCATCAAGCAAATTTTTTCGTCCTCGAGTTTGGTATCCTTCAGGATCTCTGATGACTTGCCGAGTTTCTTGATACAGATCCATCCAACGTTTGAAAGAACGTTCACAGATGTCTGCATGGAGCTCATCGCGAATCTCGTCAGTGGCTTTGCCTTTGAGGATTTTGATAACTGCAAGAGCCTTGATTCAAGGGGTGTACTTGACAAATGGCATTGTTGGTGGAGATTGTGGTTGATGTGGTTTCTGAATCAAATGGAGGCTGATGGATTTGCGATCAAAACTGAGCTGTGATCTGGGCAGAGCTCTTTGGCTCTTCGCTCGAGTAACACCAAAATGAAAGCTCAGGGCTAGAAAAACCCAAGCCCCAATCGTGCACATACCCTCATTAACGGTCCAGCTCACAAATGGGTCCAACCGGCAGCAATTTTTTTTGCTTCGATTGGACAAGCATTTGTGAAGATGCAGTAAAGGAATAATCTAGAATTAGACTAAGATGAAAGAATAAACGAACAAGTAATTAGTACATAGATTATTCAAACTCAAAGAAGAGATGAAATCAGAAAGGAAAGACTTACACATTAAAACCTAAAAATCAAAAAATTGATCGA